CGAACGAAAGCCTTTTGCTTACGGATTGTCTTAACAGCGCATGCGTAGTATACGAAAGTAAACATCCAAGATGGCGGCGCAAAATGAATTGCTGGCCGAGGCAATTTTGCGCCGCCATCTTGGATGTTCACTTTCGTATACTACGCATGCGCTGTTAAGACAATCCGTAAGCAAAAGGCTTTCGTTCGCCGCACACGGAAAGATTTTGGCACGCGAGGCAGAAATTATCAAACATGTTTGATATTTGGCGTAAGTGGCACGAATGACAAAAGTTGTTCGTAAATCGCCCGCACACGAGAGCTATCTCCTTACGTCAATGGGCACGAATGAAATTTGGCTAAGCACATAGCTCCAGTGTGCGCCGGCCTTTATAGTCGTCAAGGTTTGTTTGAATAAGTCCCAGCTAGCTTGAACGTCATTTTCATTAATTAGGGTTTCCCATCGGATTTCGCGCAAGTCAGATTTAAATTGACTAACATTATAATTGGCCCTAGATCTTATGTTTATCTTTCGTGGTTTGAATTTAAGACAATTCATTTTTCTTGTTATGCCGGTGAGATCATGGTCACTGATGGCATTTGCGATTACTATGTGTTCAGGAATCCTGCTTTCATGCGTGGTGCATATAAGTATAGGTTATTTTGAGGCAACGAGGGGATATGTGATTTATTCACCGAGGCGCGTAGCGCCGAGGTGAATAAACACATATCCCCGAGGTGCCTCAAATAACGTACTTATTTTTCACACTGCGAGGTCGCGTTAACGAGTCAGAAAAGAAATAATTCTTAATGCCATATTGCCTTCGCGATGTTGTTTTTTCTCATTTTTTGTGCTGCAAAGACATTGCAGGTGAATATTAGAGGGGATTATTAATTGCAGGTGAATATTAGAGGGGATTATTAAACGGAAATTGATTAGAGGGGAATATTGAATATATTCCCCGACAAGAACAAAGGAAACCGAGCAGGGTGAAAAATAATATCAATTAAGGATCTTGATCTCGGTGTAATTCTCGTGGGTTGTTTGATAATTTGTTTAAAACCATGAAGTTGGAGGATACGCTTTATTGATTTGTGGTCTCCATTGTTTAGATAATTGCAGTTTAGGTCCCCAATGACAATAGTTTCTTTTCTTTCTTCAGTTGCTAAGCTATTTATCTCTTCAAAGTTATTCTCAAAATTTGCATCGAGGTATTTTGACGAGTTTGACAAATTTTTAAACGAGTTGTGCTCCTGCAGGTTTTAACGAATTTTTCTCAAATTTTCACAGGACATTGCTAAAGACGTCAGTTGCAAAATTGTATTCGGCTTTGTTCTAATTTTTATCAATAAACTTTTTGATATAGATTTAGACAAATATGATAGCGATAACAAATTTATTAAAGAACGACGTTTCGAAGTCATCTTGACCTCATTAGCCGAATTCATATTAGGGACGGGAAACTCGTCTTAGACGGGAAACTCGTCTGCGAAAACCCGTCTGAATATGAATTTAGGGACGGGTAAATTCGAATTTAAGACGAGTTTCCCGTCTAGATGAGATTCCCGTCTAACTTTCCCGTCTGTTTAGACGGGTAAGTTAGACGGGAAAGTTCGGACGGGAAACTCGTCTGCGCCCGGATTCATATTAGACGAGTTTCCCGTCTGAGACGAGTTTCCCGTCTAAGACGAGTTTCCCGTCTAAGACGAGTTTCCCGTCTCTAATATGAATTCGGCTATTTTCAAGTTCAAATTATAACAGAAAACGATTAAATTAATATTAAATTAAAACAGAAAACGATGTTGTGTAAACGCTATTTATATTAATTTAATCGTTTTCTGTTATAATTTGAACTTGAAAATGAGGTCAAGATGACTTCGAAACGTCGTTCTGTTATCGCTATCATATTTGTTCTAATTTTAGCCTGCACGCAGGCTATTCTAATTTTGGATATTTTAATAATAAGGAGCAATGGACCTTTCCCATAGAAATAATAGACATAGAATGCGTGCTCCTATCTTTTCTCAGTAAAAAATTTGTCTATTATTTCTATGACCTTTCCCCAATTCCCCTTATAACTAAAATTTCGATCTAGACAAAAATTTCATCACAGCTTGAAAGAGCATCACAAAATTAGTAATATTCCAAAGTTTTGTTGCAAAATCTTGTAAAATGCGGATAATATAGCCTTGCGAAGTTTGCCGTTTTTCAGTCATTTTGTATTACAATCGGGAAATTGACATCCGATTCGGGTGTTGGGGCTGCAATTTCCCGTTTGTAATCTAAAATCACTGAAAATTGCAAACTTCGCAAGGCTCTATTTTCCTCATTTTACAACATTTCGCAACGAAACTTTGGAATATTACTAATTTTGTGATGCTCTTTCAAGCTGTGATGAAATATTTGTCTAGACTTGCCTAGATCAAAATTTTGGTTATAAGGGGAAAGGTCTATTCACACAAACGATTCAGAAATATATTGCAGTCGTCAAAGAAATCGCCATATCATTGGAATGACGAAATAAACAACACTTTCCGAACACGTTTTTAGAACAACTATTTTACTGTATAAAAATGATATTTTCATAAATATATCTTAAAATCAGCAGGGACATAACCGAAAAACGTAAAGGCACCGCTACTTAATATTTTCCTGAATAATTCTTACATTATTTTATTGTTTGTCAATTTTACATTGTTTGTCAACTTACATATTTTGCATGCACTGACTAACATTTGGTGAAAATTTGATGAAAATCGGACTGATTTTGAGCGCGCAGTAGCGATTTTCCACAACAAATCAAGTTCCTCCAGTATATTGTCGTTTTCCTCAGTCGAGACGTACTTAATCAGTTTCAGCTTCGACGATTTAACGCGTACCCCCCCCCCCCCCTACGGATTTAGCCTTTCAGAGAATGTTTTTGCGATTGGGGGCGACCGCCTCCCCTCGCCCCATCATCGTATTTATCTACGACTCATTCTTTAAGACATTTACTGCAATGAAACTTTTAAACGGTTTCTAATATTTCATTGTTCCACGTTACAAATACGCCGGTCACGGTGACCATTACATTACGTTCCATTTTTTACTGGTGGCAAACGCGATTTCTTACCTGTCAACTCAGGACAACTACCACATAAAAACAAGTTACTGATGCGTTGGAGTCGTTTGATCTCGGAGAAAGCATTGTCGGTGAAATCGGTTTGGCAAGATTCAAACACGAAACTGAACCTTTACAAAGCTAAGTGATCAGGCATAATACTTAACGAGTCCACAATAGTCAAAATTCAAGTTCCTAGAGTGGACATCATCAATATCTTCAGCCAATACTTCGTGTGCATTAAATATTTCGAGAACACCCCGAGGTGTTGATAGGTTATCGTGCGGCCAGGGAAATAAACATACATCAGGAACAGAGTTAAATGTCACTGCAACTAGGAATGGTTCTAACTTGGAATTTCCTACACATCCTACGAAGTTTTAACAACAAGTACAATGCTCTGTTAATAAATGAATTATAATCACAATCCTGTGCAAAAGGTTCAAAGTTAGCTGGTGTCACACTGTCACTATACCATTTGACCACATTTTGGGAAAGGATCTAAATATGTAGCGAGTAGGGTCACTTGATACAGGCATTTCATCTGAATAGTTCCAATTAACAATACCATTTATTCAGTAATTTATCTAAGTTGAATCTAGTTAATTTGTGTTGAGCGCCATCTTTATTGACTTGAACAAAGCTGACCTTGCTTTTCAAAAAATCCTTCCGGAATTCTCGACTTGATAAAATGGTTTTAAATCTTCTGCACAGTCGCATACATCGAGCCATATCACGCAAAGATAGATGTAAACATATCATAGAAACATCATATTGGTCACAATTGTGTCATAATTTATCATAATTGGCGAAAATTACTCATTCCCCGCGAAAATGGACGAATAACTAAATAATTGGTAATCGTTCCATGTTTCGCGCACTAATTTGACGGAAACACGTACCTGGGTCAGCCCAACGGTTATCGCGCCGAAACCAAGTTCTGATCAGATTCGCCTATGTGTCGATATGAGCATGGCAAACAAGGCTATTCTCCGCCCATACACTCAACTACTTACGATGGAAGACGTGATCAACAAGTTTCAGGGTGCGAAGAAGTTCTCCAAATTGGGCTTGCGCGAGGCGTATCACCAGTTCGAGCTTACCACAGAATCACGCAAAATCACGACCTTCTACGGACCAGACGGATTGTATCGTTATAAGAGACTGAATTATGGTACTAAGTCGGCGCAAGACATCCTACAAAACGAAATGCGAAGTATCCTCGCGGGTATACCTTATCAAATCAACATCGCAGATGACATCTTGATAGCTGGGTCTACGAAGGAACACGACCAAGCGCTGAAACTTGTCCTCACAAGATTACAAGACAACGGCATGACGGTCAACACGAAGAAATGCCAGTTCGACGTTGAAGATACACCATTCATTGGACTTATTTTTAACAAAAAAGGCATTCAACCCGACCCGACCAAAGTAGAAGCCCTCCACCTCGCAGGTCCACTAAAGAGTAAGGAAGAACTCCGATCACTTTTGGGCATGGCAGGGTTTAGCGAGCGATTTATCCCTAACTATGCCAAAGTTACGGCGCCCCTTCAAGAATTGTTGAAAGAAGGTACACGGGACTGGGACGAGAAACACCAACGTGCCTTTGAACAGCTACAGCAAGCCTTACAAGAAGACACTATTACAACCATACGAGATTGGTCGAGAAACGCGACTAGTGGTGGATATATACAAGCCTTGGTGGTCTTGGAGCTGTTCTTTTGCGGAAGAGATCGACAGCCGAAGGTTTCCGCCCTGTTGTATTCAAATCACGAAGCCTTAGCCCACCAGAATCCAACTATTCAACTACCGAGAGAGAGGCGCTAGCCATCCGATGGGGGATCAAGAAACTGAGAAAATACCTCTTGGGAGCACAACAATTCAAAGTGATTACAGATCACAAACCACTGCAAGCGATGTTCAACAAAACCGCAGGCACAGAAGTGATTTACCGCCACGCATCGAGAAGTTCATTATGGACGTCCAGGAATACGAGTACGTTGTAGAATATCATCCCGGGAAGACCAACATCGCTGATTACTTATCAAAGCACCCACGAACATATGCAATCTCAAGCAGCGTCCAGGCAGCCGACGAATTTGCTCGGACCGTGGTTCGAGCAGAAAGAGTTACGTTAATCAACAAAGACGCAGCAGTTACCATACAGGAGAGAAGAGAGGAAACACGTAAGAATACAATTCTCACGAAACTCATACACACCATACAAACTGGTCTGAATGAAGCAGATGAAGAATAAAGGCATACCGGTGGTTTGTCAGTCAGATAATGGTCAGCCTTTTCAATCAGCAGAAATCAAATCATTTGCGTCGAAACAAGAATTCGTTCTAAAACACAAAACACCGGAGTGGCCACGAGCAAACGGAACTGTAGAACGATTCAACAGATGCATGAAAGAAGCCATACAGGCCGGTCACGTCGAAGGGAAACCAATGCGAGAAGCAGCCACGACCTTCCTTCAGTCCTACCGAGCGAGCCGACATACGACAACAAAGAAAAGCCCATTTGCAGCTATGCACGGGGGACGCGAGATGCGAACAAAATTACCAATGGAGACATACTGTGATGACATTGTTGACCGAGAACAAGTGGTAAACACTAAAGCTAAAATGGTTTCCAGAGACACGTGTGCCAAGGAACATCGTTCAAAAATCGGAGATCAGGTTGTTGTAGTGCAGAAAAGGAAGAATAAGTTAACAACTGTGTTTAACCCAACGCCGCTAACAGTTACAAACATAAAAGGATCAATGATTACTGCAAGCAAAAATGAATGGTCAATAACAAGGGATGCTTCAAAGTTTCGCAAGTTATATGGGAGTCTATCCCAAAGTAGTAAAAGGGACGGTGAGGAGATACACGAGGCGGAAAATGGTACAAACGAACAATTGGACCACGATGAACACGAGGAAGACGAAGACTATAATGAAGTTGATATCGAACAAGATAACGAAGGAGCAAACGATGTTAATGTAGAACCACCAATGGCAAGGCCGGAACGCGAAAGACAGCCACCAGCTTGGCTCAGAGACTATGAAACATAAAGGACTTAGAAAGTCGGACAGTCGTAAAACAAATATAATTATTTATTGATATTATATATGTTTTGTTGCTATTCACTAAACGGAACATTGAGTACTTTAAAGTATGGGAGGGATGTGGTATTCACGTAATCACTACACCCTGTGAACGATGGTATTGTGTGGACACGTGTAGTCTATAGGAAGAGTATTATGGATGTAAACTAAATATATTTGAAACAAACTACAAGACTCTGTCTTTATATCAATAGGCGAGGCTTCAATTGCTTCCGTTCATCTGTAAGACATGTTCGTGTACATCATCCATTTCCTGCATGTATACATGTATTTCGCCACTCCAGTATGCTTAGTTAGTAGATCACGTTTGTCTTCACGAGCTTTTCTTGGCAATAACTAGCACTCTACCATTATTCTGTGGGTGGTGAGGACTGGAGGTGACATGATTCAAGTCCAATTCCTGACTAAACTCCTTGAAACTCTCGCTGGAAGGGTGGTGGTCTATTGTCACTTATTACGATTTTAAGCACGCTTATAAAAGTAGGTGCAAACTGTGCAAAATCCGGAGCAATATTCCACAGTGATAAAAAATGTTTGTCGGTCCAGTTCGAATAATCTTCTCTCTGGTAGAGTATGTGGTATCAAGGGCTCTAGATCCTTGCACTGCTGAGAAATAGGTATGTTTCTGTTGCAAAATCCTTAGATATATGGTCTTTAACGACAATGATGCAATTATTTCAGCATCCTTGGCTGTTTCCTTGCAAATCTTCTTCAATTTTCGTGGAAGGACATTGAGATCTTCACCATATTTTTGTTCATGCAAGTTCGGCAGCGAATACTCGCACTTTTACCATTTGAGGCGACACTGGTGTCGCCATCTTGTGTTCCACTCTGATGTCGTAGTTTTGTAATCATAAATTAAACAAATGCATACTTCTGGCGCCAGTTATTTTGTCCCCCTCCCCCCCCCCACCCCCTCTTGAGCTTATGCAATACAATGTTGTCATCGATACGATCAAATGCATTCGAAATGTCAAGCATACATATTTGTAGGTGCAGGGTACCAGGAGTTCCAATGCCTCATACTAGTAATGAGGTAATTAAATATATCAACGCCATTGTTGGTGTTGAAATGGAGTAAGAGGAGTATCTTGTAATAGGGTAGCACATGGACCGGTTTGTGAGACATCTCACTGTATGGTTACATGTTTTGTTACAACGTACAGTACTACTAGTAGTAGGCTAATCATTGGCGCAGTCGTAATCATTTTCTGGATGCGACCCATGGTATCTTCTTGTGTAGGTAACCAACAATCACCAGCTCGGCAACCCTTCCCCGTACAACCTTTCTTAAGACTACAGACAAACATGGTAGAAACTTAGCTAAGTAGCTCAGCATACACAGAAATTTACGCAGACTGCTGATCTGTAGGATGTGGTATTCCTTTGATTGCATGCTTCCACTTTGTTGGGACCAGGCTTAGGTCCTTCTGAGGTTAGACCAAACGAAACTTCTGACGTCCCCAACTGGGACTTCTCGCTATTCAACTTCGGATTCTGCATGCTCTCGACAGCAGTTTAGAAAGGTTCGGTACTGAGTCTATCAGTACGACACGCGTCCAACAGTCGGATCAGTCGTATTAGTGTAATTGTCCTTCTAACTTTCCAAGCCCTTCAAACACATCATGAGACTCTTCGCGCGCCAACAGTGGTTTGAGCTCCTTGTCACCCATAGTGCTTTGGTATAATTTTACAATTTTCCAATATTTTTTCAGAAAGATCCAGCTTCAATCTTCTAAGTGACTTTAATTTTTAAAAGTGACATGAGGACGAGACGCGAATATTTCTATCTTCCCATCTGAAAGGACTGTAAAAAATCTTGTAAGGTAATTTCTTTTACAGATTTTCGTTTCCTTGGTAAGATAATAATTTAGTTTTTTCTATATGTAGCGCAAGGAGTTATCGTAAATAAAATCTGTAAAAGAAGTTACTTAACAGTTTTGATGGTTCTTTCAAGCGAGTCACCTTCATAATTATAGACGGATTTTTTGGCAAGAAATGACAATACTGGATTACTGCATTCCAATTTCCACAGAATTTCCATAGATTGTCCTCATAGGCTACGATGGCCCATGACTGTACCATTACACTCGTTTTTTCCCTTCAAAATTACACTCACAGTTTTCTTCAGAATTACACGGGACGTTTTTTCAATGCAATAATTACACGCGACGTTTTTTCAATGCAATAATTACACGCGACGTTTTTTTCCAAAAATTGCACTCGCCGTTTTTTTAGAGTTACGTTTTAAACTGAGGGTTTCACTTCGGATGAAGATAGGAGCAATCATAAGGTTAGTGTGTTTCATCAAAGCAAAAAATCATGAAAATACACTACAAAATTTCACTTTTCAGTCGGTTATGAATATAATGCATTGTTTTTTTTTGTGTCTTCCAAACTAAACAAAAGCTTTGTGTTTTGCCAGGGTCATAGTTATTTTACTTGTTGGTTGCACTTCTTCATATAAATGTATGTCTTGCCATCGTATACGCCTGCATTGCTGCAGTGACGTGATACAACAAAATCAACAAGAAATGGCGGTTGTGTTACAGGGATATAGCAACGTTGAAATACACTAAGCTTTTGTTTAGAAAACACAAAAGAAAACAATGCATTATATTCATAACCCCCGGCGACTGAAAGGTGAAATTGAGCAAAACCGGTCTTTTGTTAAAAGGAAGACTGGTCAATAGAAATTGGTCTTTTGAGAGACATAATCGTGTATCGATAAAATAGCAGTTTGTGAGAAAACTGCGGGTCTACGGAGTGGGAACTTTTCGGATTTGAACGTGTTCGAAAGTGTTTAATTAAATAAAAAAATATTTAAAAAATATTAAGAGTATTTCAGATCTAAGACTAAGACATGCTTACAGCTTAATGAAAATCGTTTTCTATAGGCACTTTTCGAGGTCACAACACACGGACTAGAAGCGAAACCCTCAGTTTAACGTAACTCGAAAAAAACGGCGATTGTAATTTTTGGAAAAAACGTCGCGTGTATAATTCATTGCATTGAAAAAACGTCGCGTGTATAAATTCTGAAGAAAAAAACGGCGAGTGTAATTTTGAAGGGAAAAAAACGAGTGTATGGTAAAAAAAAACGGCGAGTGTTTACAGTCATGGCCTTTCTCGGCCATCGTATACTAACCTTATGATTGCTCCCATCTTCATCCGAAGTGAAATCCTCAGTTTAAAACGTAACTTTTACAAATATGGTTAGTGTGATTTTCGGGAAAAACGTTGCGTGTAATTTTCGGAAAAACATCCCTTAACATCTCGTGCAATTATCGCGTTGAAGAAACGTCGCGTGTAATTAATTATATAGCATTAAAAAACATCGCGTGTAACTTTGAAGAAAACCCCCCACGAGTGTAATGTAAAAAAACGGCGAATGTTTACGGTCACGGCCCTTCTCGGCCATCGTAATAAGCATTGCAGGATTTTTTTTGGTTTGTGGGCGTCACGTCTGTCATTAGAGCTCTTCAGATTTGAATTCCACTACCATTAACCAATCAGATGCGTTTCAGCTACACGATTAACCAATCATATACATACAGAGAGTGCGAGAGGTAGCATAGTCAAGTCTGAACCTCTCTATTGTCCTCATCTGGTGGAAAGAACAGAGTAGAAAGTTTACTAGCTACCCACACATTACCCACACCTATTAATATTTTAGTGAGCACGCACGATGCCTCATTGATAATTTAATTTTCTTTATGTACTTTCACTTTCACATGATTACGTCACATCGTTATACAATCCTAGGCTTTAGTCCTTTTTCAATATTGTTGATATGTTTTAACGCAAAAGAGTCTTTTAGATTGTTTAACAATACTGTACAGTACAGCAGAGTAATCTTACAGTAATCAGCACAGTTTTGAGCAGTAATCTTTTAATTAATGAAACCTTACCGTTGAGTAGTCGAAAATGCGATAAAAAGATATGACAATAAAATAACTTTTAAATATTTATTGTATATTTACAACAGAACACAACATACAACGAATATAAAATAGCAATATACAACAACAATTTCTTACGAATCCTTAAAATTTTATATAATATAGTATTCTTTTTCTATTTAAGTTAACTTTATTTTTACTCAATTACTATATAAAACGACTATACAGTGTATATTAAAATATATAAATATACAGAAATTATTTGATGTAAAAATTATCAACTACTTACACCCACCCATTCTACAGTACTAATATTTCTTGGAGCTTGAGTTTCTGCTCTATTTTGTTCATTCAAAACACCAGGAGAAACACGTGATGCAACAACAACCCCATTCTCTCTGTCCTGTCCAAGTGAACGCCTTCGCATCTTTGCTCTATTTCTTGCAGCTTTTTGTGCATCTATTGAGATAGTATCAGACTTTTGTCTATCCATTTTCAACGAGTGTTCTGTGTTCATTTGGTCCAGTAACTCTTTAATATGAAGTGCATTTTGTTCTAACAACGTTCTATCAGTTGATAATCGCTTCGATTCGTCAAGTTCTGGTACTGTTAATCCTGGTGCCTTTCGACGAATACTTGGGCTACCATATTCAGGTGGAGACGAACTATTAGGGATAGTTAGGGATGTTCGTGGTAAGTTAGTTGGTAAAGTACCCATATCATTAGAAGTCCTCCTTTGTCCCGCCTGTGAAACCCCATTGTCTTGCCTCTCTGAACGTCTTACTCTCGATTTAGGATTACGATTCATACTCTCAGGTTTTATAGCAAACCCAGCCAGTTCAATAGCATTCGTCGTAGTCACTACGGTTCCAAGTATTGGAGTAGTGAAAGTCCGTCCAGTTTGTCGGATTTCCGGATGTGCATGACTGTCACTTACGAATCTTCGCCGAGGACGAGCCAGTTTCTGCTTTTGTGGTGAACTAAGCGGGGGTGAACTCGGGGAGGTCTGACTATTATTTGTTGGGGAGTTTACAACGGGTGGACTTGCAGGAGGGGAACTTTCTTGAGATGGAATTCTTGATCGTAAAGGGGAGCTCTGCGTTCGATTAATTAATTTGTGAGGGGTATTTTTATTGCGCCCGTTTCCTGAATGACTTTCTGATTCTGCTTTATATTGCACAAATGATACAGGACCCGAACCACTTTCTGCTTCTGAGTTGTATTTCGCAGATGACACAGATCCTGAACGGCTTCCTGATTGAGATTTTGATCGTGCTTCGTACAGCACAGTTGACATAGGTCCCCAACCACTTTCTGATTGTGATTTTGATTCGGGTTTGTAATGTAGAGACCACATAGGTACGGAACGATTTTCCGATTGCGTTTCTGATTCTGGTTTGTATTGTACAGCTGATACAGGGGTGACTTTCCTTATCATAGGCCCATTTTTAACAGCAGCTCGTTGAATATTGGGACTTCCAACCGGGGCTTTGACGCTATCAGCAGAATATTTTCTCACAACTGAAGTTTTTGTCTCAGGTCTTTTTTGTTCAACCGTCACATCTTTGACAACGTAGCCAGAATCCCTGATAGGAAGCGACACACTGCGGGAATATTTTGATTCCCTTTCCTTTGGTAAGTTGTTATTATCATCAGGTTGTTCTTTAAAAGAACTTTCACTTCCACTGTCTAAATTCTTCATCGCTCTTTCTCTCGCAACCCACTCTGGTTCCTTCCACCGTTTCTTGCCTTCTCCTGATTTTCCGTCCCCAGACTCCCATACACGTCTTTTGACATCCGCATCACTGAGTGTAGAAGATGTCGATTTTCGTTGAGTATCATTGGATAATACTGACCCTGACGAAGTAGAACTAACTGATGAAGCTCTTGATTTGACAATATGTTGATGAGCTGCGCCTGATTCAAATAACGATTTTATTGAACTAACAGCTCCGGACTGAATATTTGATGATGGGTCCATATCTCGCATTTTCTCAACGGGTGTTCTGTTCATACGATAACTTGGTGGACGACTAACTTGAGAGTTTTTCCTAACCTGTTGCAGTTCAGTCTTACTTTTACTGTCCAGTGTACATTCCTGCACTAAACCACGGAGTTTTTCATCAAATGCCTCGGATGAAGCCTCCATCTGATCTTCTTCCTCGTCAGACGATTGAGATGAATCACTGCTCTTACTTAATGTTCTCGCACGAGTTATAACATCTTCATCTCCGATATTTATATCCTGGCACGATAAACTTCTTCGCTTCATAACAATATCCTCATCATCTTGTGTAAATGATGTTCTACATACACTAGAAGATCTCCTCGATGTTTTACTCAAATCTTCTGTCTTAGCTCGCGCTCGTCCCCGTTCATTTGCACCTTTGGGAGATAGAACTAAGTCTCTCATCCATTCGTTAATCTGATGTGGCTGGCAGTGACTAAACGTTACATCACCTTTGGAATATATTTTAAAATTCCGACTCGAAGAACTAGAAGTAGACCCATCTCGTCGCCGTACAGCAGGTGGTACCGAAGGTGGTTCACTAGTTGTCTTAGTGTCATTAGAATAGTGTTCGAATCGTTGTCTGACTTCATTTGGTGATAACTGCTGTTCTGTAGCAACCATTTGTTCATCTGATGTACTACTTGCAGCTTGAGAAGAATTTGAAAGTTTTCTAGGAATAATCACCGTCAAAGTGTCATTCGGTAAATTCTCAATGCCAACATTTTGTATAGTTGGAGGAGAACTTGCTTCGTTTTGCTGTTTCTGCTTCTCAAACACCTTGTTTCGCAAAGTAAAACTTAGAAGTCTTCGCTTTGTATCATCACTCAAGGAGTTAAAATCAGCATTTTCCGGCGAGACGTCCTTGTTCGACGGTAGTTGTGTGTTACTACCAGTTGGTTCACGGCTTTTGTTTCTTGATTCGCGATAGGAAGGGGGAGGAGGTCGAGCATATGAGTACGCTTTTGTAGAATGACTTGGCCTAGGATAAAAAATATGGTCGTCTTCTTCGCCTTCTGACTTTGACCGATCAAAATCATCGTGAACTTCCGTCACCGAAATATTTGTGCTTGAATGATGTCTTTTTATGAACTTCCGTCGGCCGGCAGACGGGGAACTTGGCTGCGAATTTCCACCGAAGCGAGGGGAGATATTTTGTGGTGTAGTTTTCCCCTCCAATGGTTTTGGGCGTACGGCATGGTCTGGACTGAGATCGTGTTTCTTGGAACTTTCTGAACTCTTGGAACTCTCTGAACTCGGTGTTCTTCGGAAGTTCTTAAACGATAGTTTTATACTTCCACCACCAACCTAAAAATAATCAAAACAGTGGGTTACGTATGCCAACTCTCTGGCTTTCCACAAGGTAGCGACCAGCGTTTTGCATTGCTGAAACCCAAATGAAATCAGCAAGATGTAATCTGGAAAGGACAATGCTGAGCTCGTATATTTCGACAATTACTGTGAAGTAAGGTATGACACAATTTTCAGTAGCTACATTTTGCATTACTTAACAATACATTGCAGTAATTCTTCTAAAGGAGTAGATGAGACATGAATGTTCAGGCAAGGGTACATATACTCAGGGCTCGAAATAGCAGGCTGCCAATGGCCAAAAGCAGGCCATATTTTAGAAATGGCAGGTAAAAACAAATTTGAACTGCCAAAGTTAAAAAAAAATGGCAGGTGAAATTCTATAGATATATAGTTTCATTTCATTTGCTTTATACCACAACTCATATATACAAGATCATTTAGTCGACTAAACACATTTATATTTGAAATGTAAATCCAAGTGTACTGTAGTAAAATAGACAAGTTTAATTAAAAATACTAAAAATGCATGAAAACATTGATTTTTACAATATGACTCATATGAGACATCTCCATTTTGGCAGTCCAATGAATAAAAATGGCAGGCTAAAATTTATTTCACTTGCCAAAACATTTTAGACTGGCAGGCCATATTTTTTCTCTACTTCGAGCCCTGCATATACTCAAAACATTCATAATCGTTCCCCTCGTTCACATCAGTCTGAAGATAAAAATCGCACCAGAAATCGCAGCAAAAATTGCAAGTGTTAAAGTAGGACTTACTGCTTTCAAAAAAAGTTATGTTATCCTTACCTTGTTCTTCCATGGTGGGTCGGATTCTGCACAAGAAAAAATATCAGAGTTAAAAGTAATTCGTATTCTACGGCTAGTCCTATATTCCCGTTTGTTCGGCATCAAGTGGGAATGGAAAGTGCTTATAATACATGTATAATTGTGTGCACTTGTGAAATGTGTGGTTGTATCATTGATATTTTTGTTTAATGTGACAGTTCAGTGTGTTCTCCAATGCGCGTGTTGCAAAATACGTTTTGGTAATACATTATTGAATAAAATTTCATTCTGGTAAATAACGCGCGCGTGAACGAACTTGACCAGAACTTAACTTTCCCCACGCATTCCTTTCTTCCTATCCGAAACAATACTTGCAACTTTGCAAATATATGCAGTGATCGAGAAAAATTTGGCAACCAACTCAAATAATCAATCACACTTTACGACATATTGATCTTGAGATACAGCGCAATAGACCTTTTTAAAAAGTCTGCCTTGTGACGTAGTTTGTTGATAAAGGAAAACCCCGCACAGCCATTTGGCTTGCCTGATTGGCCAAATGATCGTATTCATCTGCAAACTACGTCACCAGGCAGACTTTTAAAAAGGTCTGTTTAAAAACTACTCCATTCTCCAAGTTCTTTTTCCGTTTTACCAATCGTCAAGCTGTTTGCATCTATTTACGATTTAATAGAATGAGCCGACTGCCACATACCATAATTAACGGCTGCTTGTTCAATCGAGTTCATAGCTTTACTGGATACAAGCAAGGGGGATGATACCTCTGCTGGAGGGGACACCTGTATGTAAGAAAATAATAAATTGTATAGGTGGCTTGTAAAACCCGATTACAGAATTACCGTATAACTAGGGAGATGCTAAGCATCATGGGGCGAGCCTGAGCAAGAGCAATGATAGCCAGCAACTATCATGCAACAATGATTACTAATGTCAACCTTTCTTGTTTCCGCACTTTAATTAGTTAAACTATCATTGGCATTGCAATGTAGTTTCGAAATTTCAAAGGCAAAACTCGTAGTATTATAAATGTTGGGAATTGTATTTCTATCCATGTATAAGGCCTGTTCTAAACGTGGCATTTTACATGTGCCGAATGCATTCAATACAATAGATAATCAGCTGAAATGCCTCATTATTCATTGTTTTGAATGCATTCGGCGCATGTAAAATGCGACGTTTAGAACAGGCTTTATATTTGATATTTTGTTAAAACATTAAACACGTTATTGAAATCACAATCTTTTCAATCTTTCATGCATGAAATATTGAAATAAATAATATAGAAGTGGTTGAATGCATGGTTTTTGGCACGTGCGCTAAAAATAGCAGATGCATACATGCACTGCATGTAAACAAAACATTTAATACATACAGAGCCGGATTGCAAAAACTTGCAAATAAGGTCTTTTTTCCATAGTCTTAGAGAAGAATAACAGAATTACACAAGATTCCGCCCAAATCAAATCGAAATCGGGCTTTGCATCAGAATTTGATCCGCAACCACTCAGAAATCGAGTAAAGTAAAATTGCGACGGGCTTATTAAATAGTACTGCATGCATGTAAACAAAACATTTAATACATACTGTACAGAGCCGGATTGCAAAAACTTGCAAATAAGGTCTTTTTTTCATAGTCTTAGACTTAGAGAAGAATAAAAGAATTACAGAATATTCAGCCCAAATCAAATCGAAATCGGGCTTTGCATCAGAATTTGATCGCAACTCACTCAGAAATCGAGTAAAGTAAAATTGCGATGGGCTTAATAATACTGACCACTGTAAATAATACTGACCATTCCAATTGCCATTTGTCAGTTTGGCATGAAGAATATATTTCATCGCATGTCGCATGAAAAATTGTTAGCCGGTGAGAGACGAAAGACCGGTGAAATTTACTGTAAATCACTGTAGGACTGAAAGTTATCAAAATAGCCGGTGCGAGGCGAAAGGCCGGTAGGATTTAAGGCCCTGTTTACACTGTACCGGATTCGCTGGTCACGACATCTTCTTTTGCCGTTACGGAACAATGGTTAGTAGCAAATGCTTATTAGTTTGACAGAATTGGCATGTTTATTTGGGTCTCTGAGATTAAAAAACTTCACAGCCTTTCGATACCTACAAAATTTGACCCACTCCGATAGCAATCCGGTACAGTGTAAACGGAGCCTAAATCACTGTAGGAAAAGTTCCGTCTATGTACGCAACGTACAACGCACTATAAAGCCGGTTTTCCACTTCAAACGTACCGTACCGAAAAAAAGTTGACTTGTGACGAACTTTTTATTTTGATACGCGAATACACCAACACCGCGGAAAAACGTCTGCGCATGCGTCAACCTTACCTGTAATAGTATTGCGAACTTGATGAGAAGCTGTTCCGAACGTTTCCGAAGGCTCAAAATGGCGGTAAAATGGAGTGACTTCCTTGTACGTCTTTACAGCCAGATTTCGAGCGCAAAAATAAACATGTCATTCTAAAAACTAGGAATAAATACAGCCAGAAGGTTCAAGAAATTGTATTGTACAAGAACATGAACTAAAGATGATTGTTGACAAATTTATCGTCTGAAACATTTTGTTTATCAACTAAGCAACGACAATTTCCGAATTTTCTTTTGAGATACATTTCTTTAAAAAAAACGGTGTCGCCAAATATAAAAAATTTTCGTGTTCACAATAATTAAACTTTAGGATTTATTCTACAATTTGAGTGGGTTAAGAAGCTTAACTTTTCGAGAGTTTTCTTAACTTTTTAGTTTGAATTTTTGTTTTGAATAACTTTGCAAAATTTTTCGAAGTCGTGTCCGTTAAAATCAACAATTTTTTACATGAATTATATTTCATTCCATACTTTAAATGCCAGGACGCTTTCAATTAATGTCTAGTCTACCCATTTGCTATATTTTCTCGTTTGTTTTACTAATTTTTGACCAATTTATAAGCATGTTTTTGTTTTAGAAATTGATATTCAAATTCCCCGCCATATTTTCATAATTTGGTGCATGCGCAGACGTTTTTCCGCGGTGTTGAATACACCCGGAAGTACGTGGATTTATAAACCTCTTTTCAATCTGCGCATGCTCACCAGTATGTTTCGGACTTTCGGTACGATACGGGCGAAGTGGAAAACCGGCTTAATGGACCTATTCCCTAATGAACGCAATTTTGATCTAGACAAGTCTAGACAATCATTTCATCACAGCTTGAAAGAGCATCACAAAATTAGTAATATTCCGAAGTTTCGTTGCAAAATGTTGTAAAATGCGGATAATATAGCATTGCGAAGTTTGCCGTTTTCCAGTCATTTTGTATTACGCACGGGAAATTGATACCGCTTTATGAAAAAAGGTATCAATTTCCCGTTTGTAATACAAAATGACTGAAAAACGGCAAATTTCGCAGGGCTATATTATCCGCATTTTACAACATTTTGCAACGAAACTTCAGAATATTGCTAATTTTGTGATGCTCTTTGAAGCTGTGGTGAACTGTTTGTCTAGACTTGTCTAGATCAAAATTTTGTTCATTAGGGAATAGGTCCATTAATGCATTGCGCTTGAGCTCGATGAGCCACCAAACTGTGGAGTGTGGGGCTCGTTCAGGCTCGCCCCAATTATACATGCACGCATAGCCTGATCCACCACAAAGCTAAAAAAAAGGTTCTGATATTGCATGGTTGATTAGCATAATGAAAAATAATAATGGAACAAATTTTCTGAAGAACGAGTCACTAACACTGTCTACCTTTGAAGTCAATTACAAAACATGTTTACTTTAGCTCCGCATTCACTGCATAGACTTAACTTTAATCTTAAATAAGTCGAAGCAATGCGTGTATGCTCTATATAGTAATTCTGAAAATTATCTATATACTACAGCACGGGGATATACTTGTATATAACAATATACTTAGAATATATATAAATAAATGTACACTATTGCACAGATATTTTCGACGGTATTTATGAACATAAAATTTTAAATTCGCAATAGTTTTGAAAAATTAAATCATTTCTTACCGGTGAGGATGTACAATCGCCATCAGCAATAGGTTCGTTATCAAAGAACCAATCAAACTAGAGAAACAAAATAAAGTGAAATGAAGAATTCGCAAGCAGGTATTATAAACCTTTATTATTATGATTCACGCGCTCGGTGAGCGTATTCATATTCACAAGGCAATGATAAGAAGTTATTTAATGTGGATAACATATGGCGTGGATGTCCAATTTACACGAGCCAGAAGCTCGTGATACATATGCTCCACACGGATGCCTATGATTTAGTTTGGTGAGCGAGGAGAACCGGATGATCCGGAGAAAAACCTTCAAAGCACAGGAGAGAATTGACTCTGTTCACATGCGTTTTTATGCGCTATAGTTTTCGATTTCCAGTGGTAACTTCAGGTCGAGTCTGCCACCTGCGCGTACACGCTGGTAATATTCAGCAAATTTTCTCCCAATACAGCAGGCTCATTATCCAGCGGACGTCCAAACAAAAATTGAAAGCTTTGCGTTTCATACAGAGCTATACCAATTTTGTGTAAGATGTCCACTAACAATACTGTCTGCACCAGGTGGGGGAAATTTTCTAAATTTGACGAACGTGCGTACCAAGGTTTCGAATAACTTCTGTAGTCGTCAACTAAAGCTGGAGTTACACGAGCAACAAAATTGCTGCAACTTGCAACAAAATCTGATTTCAACGCATGTTAAGTAGAAATGTCGACACATGTTGCTTTGTGATTTGTAATTTATGTGTAAACATTTTAAATTAACATGCGTAGAAATTAGATTTTATTGCAAGTTGCAGCAATTTTGTTGCTCGTGTAACTCCACCATAAGTGCCACTAACCCCAAACGACTTTTTTGCATGTGCAATATTTGGGTCGTTGTAAAAAGAAATGTAATATATCTTTAGGATAAAAAACCTCAAATTTGTGACTGTCGAAGTTGCCGGGTATGATGTCATTACATGAATATCGTATTAGTTTTCCTTTGTTTTTTTTTCTTCTTCAAAAATTGGTCTAATGACATCATATGAGAGTTTTACTATAAATAGTACACTTCTTCTAAGAACGACCCAAATATACACATACCAAAAATCATATCTGGGGTTAGTGGCATTTTAAACATTGCATTTTTGTTAAGCATTCTAACATTATAAACATATCAACTTACGTTATTAATAAAGCTCTCTACAATTCGAAATCTGTCTGTCATATCGTTCACCATTGTTGTCATATTATCTTTCTCGGTTCTGACAATCGTCGGTCCAAATATAATTGCAATGTTTCTCACTTCCATCTATAAACATGGATTTAAACATTTGAATAAAATAATTCATCATACTATACGATATACGGTATATAATTATACCATACTATACCATACCATACCATACCATACCATACCATACCATACCATACCACACCACACCACACCATACCATGCCACACCATACCACTCATTACCACATCACACCGCCAATTACCAACACAACATACCACACCACACCACACCAAATCAAACCATACCATGCCTTAACACATCCCAGATCATACAATACCCTACAATACCATACTATACACCACAACATACCTACGACCTTGCCCTTCCTCATTATGAATATCATGGGCAATATACCATATAAACATGCATATACCATACCACACCATTCTATACAAGATAGCGTAGCTGATATGGCATAGCAACATTACACAATGCACAAGATAACATAAAATATGACATGTGCATACAATACAATACAATACGATACGATAAAATCAGTAAAGTACAATGCTATACTATACATATTGTAACTTACTTTATTCTTGTCTGAATGTTCAGAGACTTTCTTCAGATGTATGATGATGAATCTTAATGTCTCACCATAAACGGGTGGAAGTTGTTGTATCTAAAAATATCATTGTGAACTCAAGTTTGCATATCAATTCATTCATTTCACCAGTTGTTTATAACATTCGCGTCCTTCTTGTCTTGAATATACAACATGAGCCAAAGCCGGGTCGCGGCCGCTCATGCTATAAACATGACCGCCTCATTCATAACCGCCGTTTTCTGTCCTATGCAAACCTATATTTCTCTGTTCATGCATATAATCTTATATTTGTACGTATATTATTCTAGGTATTTTGCTCACCAGACGTTTCAACGACCACATTCTTTCGTCACCTTCTATTCGGTTGGCATTAATAAATTTTCCATAAAGTTCTGCGAGGGGAAAAAATATATCCAGCTGTCAGAAAAACTAAAATGGATAGGCTCAATATACCAACTCATACAGTCAGGCTGACAAGATAAAGAAAGATGATTATACGGCTAAAATGATTTGAAGTCAGTGTAGTATATGCCAACCTCGTAGTCAGGGTTTCTGCGAGCAGGGCTTCTGCGCTTCTGGCTCTCAGAAGCCCTGGGTACGAGGTTTATGTGGGTTCTAATTCGCCTAAAGCCTGTTTTCCATTACGCGAATTTATTTCCTATGGCTTTGCCGGCGTTGCTTTTGCTGACGTGATAAGCGATGCCGACAAAGGAACTGAAAAGTCGCTTCGCGCGAACAAATTCGCCTAGTTTGAACATTCATCAAACCTTTATTTTGTTAATCTAGAGCTTGAAATGCCCCCATTTTACTGGGGCTTTAGTTGCGATAATATATATGCACTGATTTTATTAACAGAATATCAGTAACAATGTTAATAATATTGCTGTGTTACCTGACGTGACTAGTCCTTCAGGAAGCTTCCTTAGAAAATTCCTCAAAAGACTCGCCATGTTGTTGGCATCATTCCATTTCTATAAATAAAATATATACCCGAGTTTTACAATATACACAGAAATAGATACAGCTATTCCAGTTAAGGTGGTCATAGTCAATTGTACATTCCAAGCGCGAAAACCTTTTTAGCTGTTTAGGTAGCTTATGACCATAGCTCCTTTGGCAATTCCCAGGATATACATGATTATAATACATTTCACTCTACAAAATATATTATTCCCATTTCGCTTTTGGCGCTTGGATTGTACATTTGACTATTAATTGCTTGTGACAACCTTAATTGAAATAGCTTAAAATAAATAAATATAGTCCAAAATCAACTCATAGTCTAAAAACTGTGTTGTTTTATAGAGACAAATTGAAAGCATTCTTCACGTGACTGAGGTGAAAACAGGCCACCACATTCGAAATATTCTACCAAATGACAACAGCTCGTCATACCGGTTCATCAAAATTGATGTCATCTAGAGATTTAGTATTTAATTCTTCCTCTAACGCTGTGACCATAGCACTGTTACCTGGCACCCTATAAGAACATAAATCTGTGATAACTCTCGTGTGAATAGAAATTTTATTTTTGTATTGTTTCGTTACAGTTGTCTAACCCCAACGCAGCAACCCTAACCCCAAGTTAAACCTAACCCTAAACCTAAGTCTAACCAGGGTCTAACCCTATCTCTAACTGACCCTAACCCTAACCCTAACCCAGCCCTTACCACTGAGGTAAACACATTATCCTATACCAGGGCTGGGCAATAGATTGGAATTTCTTGCGGAAACTTCTGTGTTTATCTTAAATAGAGAGTGCAGTCCCTTCTGGGTTTTTCATATTCATCATTTGTAAAGCTGTAGCAAGAATCAAACCAACACGAATTATAATATTTCAAGTTTTCAACGTGAAACACCAGTTGCACGCAGTGGAATGATAATAGGCAGGGTTCGAAGTAGAGAAAAAATATGGCCTGCCAGTCAAAACTTTTTGGCAGGTGAAAAAAAATTTTAGTCTGCCATTTCCATTCATTTAACTGCCAAAATGGCGATGTCTTATACGAGTCATATTGTAAAAGTCAATGTTTTCATAATATGCATTTTTATTATTTTTAAACTTGTCTATTTTACTTCAGTAAACTTGGATTTACATTTCAAATATAAACGTAAGTAGTCAACTAAATGATCTAGTATATAGGCTATGAGTTGTGGTAAACAAATAAAATGAAATATATCAATAGAATTTCACCTGCCATTTTTTTTTATTTGGCAGTTCAAATTTGTTTTTGCCTGCCATTTCTAAAATTTGGCCTGCTTTTGGCCATTGGCAGTCCGCTATTTCGAGCCCTGTAATAGGGACCTTACTAATTTAAGGACGGCAACACGATAAAACAAATCCTTCAAATATGTTATTGTAAAGAGAAATTGTCGTGTATTATTAATGCAATTAAGCATGAAGGTTAAGAACTTTATCGTTGAAAAAAAAGTTCTTATCACGTCTCGATGAAGACGTATAAAAATCTTCACTATTTATTTCTTTTCAATAGGAATAGCCGTCGTTGCCACGTTACCGTCCCAAATTCGTAAGGTCCCTGATTACCGTTGGGTGAATGCACATTCTAGAAAACATAATATGCTTAGCATTCTGGAAGAGTGATTGTTGACTGTTCTTTTTTAAAGCGCAATTAAGCTATATTGAATTTTCTGAAATTAGTTTGAGTTCCTATGAAACTAGCATTCTTATGCTTTCTAACTACAATGTTTTACATTCTCTCGTATAGTTTTATTCAAGAGCGTTGCATGCTTACATGCATGCAGACGAAATAATAGAAAATTCGACAATACAGCAACATTGTTGAATGAGAGTGTTTAAAAGTACAAGCATGCATGCAGTAGAGAATTTCGAAAGATGAAGAATATAGAAAGTGAACTGGTTTTAAAAATTGATAGAGAGCATTGTCCATACGAATTCTTGAGATTATGTGTTTTAAATTCTTCTCTCTTTTCTAGCCAATTCTCCATGCAATGACGAGGCAAAATAATTGAAATTTCGACCATTGAAAAACAACCACATATTTGAAAGTTTGCCATGATGCTAATAATAAATATTGTGGTCACGATTTTGCAATCATATTTTCGCATCAACATCATTGTCATCAATTAAAAATTTCATGTCCTTACATGTAGGACAAGTTAACTATAAATAAAATCGCTTAATTGTTACTAACAATAGGTGATGCATTATCATTGATAAATGATTCGAAAACGTTGGGCATTGTCAATGATAACATATCAAGTTTGGGCGAGTTAAGTGCATTGAAAATAGGTGCAGAAGGCCAGAATATTAAACATATGGTCGAAAATACATTTAAATTTTCACATCATTTCCAAAAGATAACGGGTTTCGGTTGAGTTACGAATATCAACAATATGGTTAAAATTAAATTGAAGGTTTCCTATGCACTTCCGAGGTTAAAGAAAATAGATCGGGAAGGGCCATGTAGACGGATGTCATTTTAAACGCTCAGCATGATGTATCAAGGCTTAACAATTAGCAAGTCTGCAATTCAACAAAACCTACAACTTTTGACCATTTGTTTCGTAAAAATATCTCTCTAAATGTCCAGGAAATAGAACAAATATATGTGGTATTAAGTTGGCCACTTGCCTGTATATACCAACAGATTCCAATGCCCTATTCTCAACGACATTACAGCAATGTTCAACAAGCAGTGGCAGAGACTGAAACAGTGAGAATAATGTTAATTGTTAATAAAATACTCTGACAACCACAATACATGTTGAAATAAAGTGCAAGATAGAACATACTGAACATATAGTTTTAGTCATTACCGAGTTAGTTTTTGACTTGGGACAGCTTTCTAGTGAAGTTACGGCAGAAAAAGCTAGAACAAAATATATTAATACTGAGTTTACGTTAAACAATAACGGTACTAGGCGACAATCACTCTTAAGATTAAACTACGATAAGTAGTTTAACAATATAATATATAAGATGACAGACACTGTTGATTTTAACGGCATTCATATAAATTTATTGTTTTTTTCTGGGTTAATCATTTATACACAAAAACTACACTACACGACAATATACCATCACTCCCATCAGAATTACATATCAGGAAAGGTTTATGCAAGCTATAAATTTTGACCCCATAGACAAAGCATAACAAAAGCAATCTTAACCTTGACACACACAAAAACATTAAAATAAAAAAAACCCCAAATATATGACAGTTCGGTGTGAAAGTAATGTATTGTCGTCTTGTAAATGGGAATGCAATGCCAACAGCAACGTGTAGCGTTCTCGCCAATTATATACTGTTTTTATATGAACCACCGAGATTAAGCCCACATATTCGTTTTCAGACAAAAATACGGTAATTCAACAGCAATTAGTATACGGTAATGTAACAACAAGTTTACGAAACACATTTTCAAGTTGCTGTATTAAACTACATGTTCTTTAGTATATGTTTTAAGTAGGTAACGTTAGATTGGTATACATGTGAGACATTTAACACCTCAAACACATTAACGTAGTTATTATTGTACATTTGTTATGTACAATACAGGCAGCATCGAAGGGGAGGGAGAATAAAAATTTCGTCCAAAACCGAAATTCCCAAATGCCATTAACAAAATACAGGCGTACTAATCGTGTCGACAATTGTGTTCGCAACAGACTTTGAGCAAGCTTCTCGACACGTTGCAGATTGGTGAGCTTCTCACAACAAATGGTTTGCACATTTTGTTTATAATTATTTTATAACAAGTCTGCTGCAGGGTGATATAAAAAGTTGTTACCAAGCTGGAAATAAACAGTCATGAAAATATTAACTTGTTGCAACAATCTTGTAACAAATCTGCTGCAAGCTTGCAACAACTTTTTCTTCTTTATATAAAATATAACTTCCATCACATTGGGATTTGGGATTTGTCTGGCTGATTTCGGATGCACTTTGTCTTTAATGAATAATGACATTTGAAAAATATATTCGACATAAGCATCCAGCAGAACTTGTAATCGGCTCCAACAAAATGCTGGGTGTTAACGTTATAGTAACATAACACATTTCGTCTGAAACATATTTTTGTAAAAACATCGATCTCTACACTTTGAGAGTTGTCGACATGTTTGTTACTGATTAAAAAGGGCTTCATATAAATACACAGACAGTAAACAGACAAAGCTAAATCAACAAATAATAATTGTAGTATAATATTAATGTCAAAATAATTTTCATTAACTAAACTTTTTCATTTTTCTCGTGTTTTAATTCTTTGTTGATATTCATAACACCAAAATAGAAATTTAGGACTAAGTCTAACGTCGAAATTGAAAAGTAACTTCTAGACACCCAGAGATGGTCATGCACTGGCTCAGATTAATCCAGAATATGGAAAATAAATACTGATTATTGATCTTAAAATTTCAACATTTGCCATTTGGTGAAATTACAAGTATATCCCTTTTTCTATGATCGATCTGCTACCGTGATAATCTAAGAGATCGCGATCCAAAGTGATCGTGATCATTCTGTGAGTAAGATATCAACAAAAAATTAAAACACAAGAAAAATTAAAATTTTTAAAAAAGTTATGGAAAATTATTTTAATTGTTTGTGTTTTAATTCTTTGTTGATAAAGTCATTATTATATATATATAGCTGCTACACATCTTGCTCGCAGAATAATCGAGCGATACCCGGTTATAACACCACACTTTTATTACGATAGCATATCGATCATAGAAAAAGTTAGGCTAATATAGACTTATAATAAATGATGAAATTTTAGGATCAATAATCAGTATTATTTAGTTTTCATATTCTGGATTAATCTGAGCCAGTGCATGCATGCATGGTCATCCCTGGGAGTCTAGAAGTTACTTTTCAATTTCAACGTTTCAAAACATGTTCCCCTATAAAGTTAAATTCTTGTTTTCATCATTGACTACGATTTTTCGGCCATTGGCATTGTCATTGAGAAAAGTTTCGAAAACATGTACAGACACGATATGTAAGAAGATAAGTTTAACGATATTGCTTGTTTATCAGCTTATATAACAGTGAACGTTCATACTTGGTCCTAAATTTCTGTGTTGATGTTATGAATATGGAACAAAGAAAATATTAGAATATGGCTGAAGTTTGGAAATCAATATAAAATTGAAATCATATTGATTATATAATGTGTTGAACAGAGTAACTCGTTCCGCTTTGCTCACTCGTGATGTCAGTTCAACACTCAAAATACATGTCATATTTCCGCACATTCATGAATTATTATTTTTTTTACTTGCAAAATATTAAAAAGCTATTTGTTCTGGCAAACAACAGGCGACGGATACGAATGTTTGCTTGACACAAAAAATCGAAACATGTCGCAAGACACGGAATAAACCACGGCTATGAGTATGATTATAGAAATTTAGTATATTGTCTTGTCATTCATTACAGATAAGTCACAACAGTTGAAAATCATCAATTATGATTTTAATGATTTTCTTGTTTGAAAGCGCCAAACTAAAAGTTCAGTACAATATATACGTGAAGACAATTATATTGGAGTGTTTCCTTATATGTCTGTATTTAATAACACGGTGTCGGTGGCGTTAGAGCTATCAACATAAATGTTTAACACTCTCAATGCCATCTTAACCATAACCAATGTTATAGGGATTGTTTCGATAAACATGAAATAATAACATACACGATGATCATACCTTGTGCTTGATATTGAGGAACAGGATTGTTTGTGGGATTTCCAATTCTTCTTACTTTATTCACAACTTTGCTGTGCCATGTTGCTTTGCCACTGTCACCTTCGATGGCTATGGCAAGAGAAATACAAAGCCATTAACACTATTGAGTATTTTAAACTTGTCGATGAATGTTTACAAATACTATTACAAATGCGACTATACCGGCAGTAAACGCATTGTTCCAAAACGATTTCGCCGAAGTAAAAGACATTTCCACAAAGATTACTTAGGGTAATGAAACAGCATCTTTAGCTAGAAAATCTCAAGACCATGACAGTTCGTATTGATGATTTGTTTGGAAATATATTTCATCATCATTGTATATTTGTGTCGATATTTTCAAGCTAGAATGTTCTCTTGTATATAACGCAGTAGACGGTGTCCTCTGAGCACGGAAATCCGGTTGAGTTACTCTAACACAGGAAACAGTCTTAAAACCCAAGCACCAAACTAAGAATAGATATCATTTGAAGGCAGACGAGAGGGCAGATGAAGCCAGATCCTCTGGACAAAAAAGCGAAGAATGAAGGACAACAATCAGTCAAGCTGATCCAATCAACATGAGTTAATTGTTTATAAAAGAACATTTCAAAACAACACGACTAGCTCCCTTGGGGGCACTAACAACAAAATATATTCATGTTGCATTGCAATACATTGTCACTGCGTTTATATCTGTTGCTAAAGCCAACTGGAAACTGCTAGCAGGAAGAACGTTTGAATAAATAATACCAGTAATGAATACTGAATAATAACTAGATGATGCAACTAAAAGAACACCCAGGAAAAGCGACTGAATTCGAAATAAATTAAAAATGTACAAACATATTAATTTACAATTTGCATGCTTAGAAAAATGGTTATATCAGACGAACTATACTGGGTACAGTTGATTTGAGAATGGCTAAATAAATTCCACATTTCTCGAGTACAGAAGTCAAGATACATAATCAATGGGCTGCAAACAACAACGATCCGTCATACCATTGAGTGACTTGTCATCAATGGCGCATAAATAATGCGAGGCGCATAAATAATGTGAGGCTATTAACTGATACCTCTTTGTCCATGTATAAGTGCGCATGTGAATATTTATCTTATACTTCTCTTTAACTGTATAGTATATCGCATGAAATATCTTTAAAACAACTAACGATATTCTTTTAAGGCAGGTGAAGTTACAGTTTTCAGAGTAGTATATTTTATCGAAATTTGAAGCCACGTGTACAACTTAAATTCCATGCGTGTTTTATATAATATTTGAAATATTCATCATATCTATATGTCTGTACAAAGGTGACGAACTAACACATTTCAGCTGCACTAGATTTGTCTTTTCGACCGCTTAAACGTAAATATTATTTCAACTTTATAACCATAGCGACATTGCATATGCCGCGTTCTCATACAAAAAAAGACAGTAAGAATATGTAAGATCTTCCCTGAATGCAAAATATGTGGTGGGAAAATTCTTTGAACTCTTTATATTGAGACAGGAAACACAATATATTGTATCACAAAATAAAACAATCAGCATAAAATCTATCTCTGTGACAATGTACAATGATATAAAAAGAAAAGACAGCAAGAGCTTGGATGCAAATTCTTTGAACTCTTATACAATGTGTGGAGACACAATGTTGTGTAACAGAAAACGAAATTATCAGCATAAATTCCAGCTATCACAAATTTCACTATCACAGAACTACTGTCAGAATCAATATTATGTAACAGAAAACAAAATTATCAGCATAAATTCCAGCTATCACAAATTTCACTATCACAGAACTACTGTCAGAAGCAATATTATAGGAGGAGTAGATAAGTTATGAATATTCTGAGTATATGTACTACATATCAATGATGTACTCTCATCAGAACATTCATAACTCATTCACTCGTTCACATATATTAGCAGACAATCTGACCTAAAATCGCAGCAAAAATTGCAAGTGTAAAGGCCCGGTCACACTGCACAACGATAACGATAATTTGTATACGCGCGCTGATTGGTCAAAAAATTTAACGTTATCGTCCGACTGAAAAAAAAATTAAAAATGTTATCGTTTTTGTTGTAGTGTGGACACCAGCATAATATTTTGACGGCCACTTATATAATCGTGCTTGTGCAAAAAAAAACACAAAGGTCTATGTGTAGGTCAGATAGAAAATGCATGGTTGACATTGACCTTCCATGCATGTCATTTATAACCTTGATCCAAAGACATAACGTGTAAATGCGCACGCACATTGTGGTATATGATATAGGCTTCGAGACTTTCTATTATTATCTTCTTGCTATTTTTGCAATGACACATTGCTCTGTCATCGGGACTGTATTTAGAGATTACTATAAAATCTAGGCAGTACACATAGGGGGATTATAGAATATAGGGAGAAGGAGTACAAGTTGGAATAAACAAAGAAACAACAGACGTTTCTCGTGCCAGGACTATCCCGCATCACTCACAGCATTTACTGTTTAGAACACAAAGTCTTTTGGACACATTTCACAAAATTAAGGCAAGCACTACCATTGCTACCATTTTCCCTGAGTCAGAGATGAAGTCAGGCTAAATACACCTCAACGTAAATATAGTTAAGCATATTATAGAGAAGGTAAAATATACCCCAAGAATATTCAAACTTCAAAGTTGGAACAGCAAAGAGAAGCTAACAGCAAAAGAAACTTCAGAAATTTTGGATGTAGTAACCGATGGCAGGGCGTTCACCCTTCCTCGCATTTTAAACAAGGCCCGTGGAACGAGATTGCCGAGTAAATGAAATAAAGTAGGGAGTGTTTAATCATCTTTCCTTGCAGCTGAGAGCTGAATGCGCAGGACGCGCAACTCACATCGAGTCGAATGCTTACTAGGACCCTCTTGCTGACACTCATGTACGACCCATGTATAATCATGCGGAGCACAGCTAAGGTGGAAGGGTTAATTTTTGATGAGGGACGAAATCGCACTACTAAGAGAAAATCGTAAAAACATAGGAGAACCAACGCGTACTCCATTATATTAATATACATAAGTTGTCCTGCACTCATCAAGTAACAAAACCCAAAAGTGAGCTCCATATATACCTGGAGTAATAACTCGAGGCTAAAAAGAGAAGCCAAGATAGAGCTATTGGATGTCAGTTCCAGTCTCTGTTCTATTGTTTTTCTGCGCGGTCTGCAAGGAGTGTGCCAAAATTTCGGATTTTGACCTCGACTTAAAGAATAATACTATGGGTTTATGAACATCAAACTTGTTTAGCAATACAATCAGTTAGAAAAAAACTGGAATTAGCTGGGGAAAATGGTATTAAAACCGTTTACGACCTGCACAAATGTTGGACGTCAATTTCCGGCTTCACTTTTCTCATAGGGCAAATGACTGAAGTTCTTGCTCTTCAGTGAGAGAGAGCGAGCCCATACTTGACAATACCCCACTCTCGATCTTCAGTACACGCGTAAAAATTGAGAAAATCAACAACTTGTTCCAGATTGATATCAACAGGCGTGAACAAGGTTGTGCGGCCCACTATGAACAGTATTGTCAACATGTTGTTACAACATTGTTCAACTGTAACAACTTGGAACAACATAGTTGACAATTTGTTCATAGTTGGCCGCACAACATTGTTCACGCCTGTCGATATCAACTTGGAACAACCTGTGCGTTTTTAGCCGTGTAGCAGGCTTAACTCAGCGGCAGCGCGCTAACCGTATTTGTCACTCGAGCTTCCTTGTGACAGACTGGGTAGGTTACCCACAGATCTTAAAATTGCATCAATATTTGAAGATAGCGTTCCAGTCGTAGTACACACAAAAAACACAAACCTTTCTTGATCTTAAATGAAGATTGACTTCCTGAGTTACTTTTGAAAGACGAGCTTTTCTTCAAAGTCGGTTTACCAATCTTCAATGATGTTGGAGGCATGGCTTTATTGGTTGTTTGGCTATAAGTAAAAACAAAGTTAGTTTTCGAAACGGTTGTAGACAGTGCGGATAGGGTGATTCTAATATTAAAACGTGGGGTTCGGTGTGTACGTATATTAAGCCTGTCTTCCACTTCAACGTATCGTAACGAAACGTAGCATGTTTCTTTGTTTCCTCAGCACTAGAATGGAACTAATGATTTCGGCACAAAAGAAAATGCTACGATACGTTACGATTGAAGTGGAAAACAGGGTTTAAGAAAAACATGCTCATAGTAGTATGATTAGTATCACCTTGTAAATTCAAGTTGTTAAACGCAAAACAGGAAGAAATCTCAGTAGAAATCCCCTTGAACTTTGTGTTTTGTTTTCGAACAACTCATATGACAAGATGTATCGAGCATGCTTTTTCTTATATTTCTTGTAATTGTCTGTATGAAGACTGTATCCAATTAGTAACCAAAGATACTGCTTCTCAGGGTGTTTGTTTAGTTAGCAGCAGGTTTCTTCCCCTATCGGATTTTGGAAGAGAAAATTTCGTCCGCAAACAAGAGGAGGTCTGAAGAAAACAAATGAAAATTGACGAAGTAGAGAATACCCAGCTTTTGAAAATCTTTTCTTTCCCTTCCTCTCTTTGAGGTCACTTCTGTTTCCAAACGGAGGGGGGGGGGTGGGCGGGGGTAATATAGAGCTTAAGCAAACGACGTTCTTGACAACACGACGACATAGGTATAAGATAATTGCGTACAGGTTACGCGTATTGATTTCCGTCATTTCAACTGTCGCCATTTTTAACGGCTCGATCTTTATGCAGGTAGTGTAGTGTCACTGAAAAATGTCGCTTGCTTAAGCTCTGTATTAAATAACGGGACTATATTTCAAAATGTCAACATTCCTAATGAAACACCTCATGAAGAGCAAACTAAGATCTCATCATTAATAATTTACGGCAAATTAATCAATCGTGCAGCTTTATTTTGTTCAGATGTATTGTATAATTATGTTCCTGTGACTTGAGAATGCTTTCATTATATATGAAAAATGAAAATTGGAAAACGTTGACGGCTAAGATAACTAACGCTTGTCACCTCGGAACTCTTTGTTATTTGTAACTTTGACCTGTGTTTTTCATTTCTGGTATTTAATAAGTGATGACATCAGATTGTCTTTTGGCTGAAAAAATCTGATTAAAATCCGGAGAAATCTAAAAATCCGTAAACAAATTTGTTCATATTTAAATCATATTTAAAATGACATCAGATTGTCTTTTGGCTGAAAAAATCTGATTAAAATCCGGAGGAATTTAAAAATCCGTAAACAAATTTATTCATATTTAAATCGCCGCAAATATAATAATGGGAATCTTCGATATCAGATTACTGTCACGTACGTAGGTCAAAGTACTGCTCCAGGGTGTAGCACATCTAAGTGATGATGTATTGGGAAATTAGTTCTGAAAAAGAACTTGTGAAAATTTAATTGTTTTTTTAAATCATATGCCCCCCATTTAGTTTTGGAATAAGTGTAACCATGCAACCAGTGGCGGCCAGGGAGGGGCCAACAGTGAACTCCATATACATAAATCTGGATTCTAGAGTAAGAACTCGCATGCAAAACATAAAGCGAAAGATGGCGGAAATTGACGGTCCAATGCCAATCCCGTACAGTAGTATTAGTCTGCGCAGTTAACACGAGTCTGCAAACTAATACTATATTTCGTCTTTTGACTTCCATTTACAGAATAATATATGCTTTTATGAAGTTCTAAAACCTTGATCAGCGATACGACCTGTGTGAAAACCTGGTTTTTAATAGCTGGGGACAATTGTAAGAGAACTGTTTAAGACCTTCATATATAAGCACAGGAGGTGAAGTTGTTTTACTTGTTATCCACGGCCTGGTCTACAAAATTCTGACCCACGTCCACAATTTTCTCAGGTGGCACGTTTGGGAAAAAATAAAACGCGGAAAGTCAACAAAAGTGTTAAAGTTCAAAAATCCACCTACTACTTTAGTCGCGTAAATCTGGACAAAAGGCCGACGTAAATCTAGGATGAGATCCATTAGAAATATCCAGGTTTCATGTTACCAAAGTCTATAGTAGTCGGTAATTAATTATTTTCTCCTCATTCTATTAAGTAATATATACTTTCTCCATATCAGGTCAGGACTTCGTAATAAAATGCACAGATATACTCAACAACAACAGTTTTTTGAACTTGATTAGTGATACGAGGATGGCATATCTTCTCTTAGTCATTCTCTTTAATCTTCTTTTATCATAAAAAAAGATTTGTATTAGACTAATCATTCTCTTTAATCTTTTTTTATCATAAAAGAAGATTTGTATTAGACTAAAAATCTTGTTTTATCTTCTTTTATTCTTCTTTACCAAAATGACTTTACTCGTCTTAAAGATTATTTTTATATTTGTTTAATATTTACAGCTGGTTCGTTGAAAGTTTCAGCAAATTAAAATGTCCATATCAGTGAAAATGTCATTTTAAAACATTAAATTCGAAAATTGTCTTTAATTAATTGTCTTTTATAATGAATAAAATAATTTTTGGGAAACATCTTCTTTTCACCATTGACTGCACTGCACTGCACTGCACTGCACTCCACTGTACTATATACTGTACTGTACTGTACTGTACTATATACTGTAGTGCACTGCACTGTACTGTATACTGTACTGTACTGTACTGTACTGTACTGTACTGTACTGTACTATACTATACTGTACTGTATACTGTACTGTACTTCGTTACACTGTGCAGTACTGCTTTGCACTGTATTGATCTGCTAGGTACTGTACTGTACTGTACTGTACTGTATAATGTACTGTATAATGTACTGTACTGTATACTAATACTGTACTGTATACTGTACTGTACTGTACTGTACTGTACTGTACTGTACTGTACTGTACTGTACTGTACTGCGCTTCACTGCACTGTATACTGGTGCTGTATACTGTACTGTATTGTACTGTATTTCGTTACACTGTGCAGTACTGCTTTGCACGGTACTGCTTTGCACTGTACTGCTTTGCAGTGTATTGATCTGCTAGGTACTGTATTGTATGATGCTGTAGAAACCATTACCGTACTCTATGATTGAATATCATGTGGTGCTGTACCTGTAGACTACAATATGTTTACAAAGTATATGCCTGTTGATATGTACTTCCTTTTAAGGCCATGTTACACGAGGCAATATTTGCTGATTTCTGACATAGAGCTGTGTTATCTGAAAAGTATAGTCAGTGCCAGGGTTCGTACATGTCAGAGAGAGTCAAATTCAAGGACTTTTCAAGGCCATTCAAGGCCATGTATCAACAAATTCAAGCACTAAATACTGAAGAGAAGGCTTTAGAAATCAGTAAAATGTGACGTTGAATTGTTCAAATCGCAATTTTAATGAATTTCAAACAGCTTTGTCAGATGCAAATTGCAAAATCAATTCAACAAAATATCCGTTTTTGAATGTCAAACAATTTCAGAAAATATGCATAAACTATTAACCAAGAATAATTCAAGGACTTTCAAGTACTTCTTCACAAATTCCAAAACATTCAAGGCCTTGAATTTTTGTTTTCAAATTCAAGGACATTCAAGGACTTTCAAGTTTTGTGCGAACCCGAGTCACATACATGGAAACTGCGAGCATGGCCCACATTCCACTACGCCGACACCTTCTTTACATAACGTACTCTTAAGAGAGTGAAAGTGAAATAAATATGATAAAAAATGTCGACAGATCAAGTAAAACGGGCTCACAGGCTCTATGCCAGGAATTGCTTTGCAAGTTGCGGCAAAAATAGCCTCGTGTAACATGGCCTTTAGTAACCTTGCAATATAATTTCTACTCCAACACTCTCTTACGAACGAAAGGCACTACAAATTTCCGTATTAGTGTGACAGCTCGGCAAATGATAAGAAACTACCGCATTGCGAAACGACATGTAGCGTTACAGGAAATTATTTCCGGAATTAACAAACAACAAAACTAATCGTTCATTTCAATTATGAGTTCAACAACTCTTGATATCACCACGGCGGAAACAAGAATTCTTGAAAATTTACAATTATTACAACATATGGAATAATAAAAAAATATCAACGGCAGAGTAATTTGACAGGGAGTCTAGACTTAACCAAGCAACAAAATGTTTAAGTATTTTATCAGATCAAATCCCGACAATAGCTTTAGCCAAAATGATCTATGATCTATAAATCAGATCATCTGACTGATAACTGCATTCTATGATAACCACATACTATATATATGTGCACTCATCTTTCCGTCGGTTTTGCAAACCTCCAAGCCGGAATATAACCTACACGCCTATTCGGCTACTCAGAAACAAGTCGATCTTTCTGATCTTGCGCGCATTTGGTAAAAAGATTAAGTTAAGCTTGCTTGACCCGGCTTCTTACCACGCACGTAAAACCCCTGGGAATAAATTGGTAGTGCGCATCGAAAGATTACAGTCTGTTAGAGTACTTGATAATTGCGAGCGATGAGATAAATAATTAGAAACAATCGACATGTCGTTAATTTAAAACAGAAAACTCGAACTTCGAATAACACTGATCACAGCAGTCCTAGAGGGGTGAATGATCTATGGTCAATATTTTAATAATCGTGCCCTGTTGATTTTTACGTATGTTATCAGAATAAATACAAATCATCAATATGGTAGAAAATATTTCCATATCACCCCGCAATGTGGACAAATGTTCCTAATAAACGATATCAACTTACATTAAGCGCAACAATCTTTCGAACTCACGACATATGTCAAGAAAGTTATTAACTTTGTCCTCGACAAAACCGCTACATATTTAAGACAAGTTCAACTAAAAAATATACCTTGATATTTCAATATCCATGTTCTTTTTCCGTCTAACAATAAGGTCTTCACTGGTGCGACCAAATGTCTACAAAATTAAACAATCATTTCAGATGATATATTTGTTCTCGGCTAGCGATTACTAGTCCGTGACCTGCCGTGAGTGGGGTTAAAAATCAGATCTCGAAAAATGGCGGTGCCCACTCTTCATTTATATTTGTAAATATTGCCCAGAAAAAGAAATGATGACTTTGACCAAAGATCTCGGTATCACCAAATATGCTACTCTAGAACATTCAATAAAACGATTTTTAAACATTTTAATATCGGCCCGTGGATCAATCGTTGACATATTGCGGCAACATGGGTTACCGACGAGGTTTGCCTTATAAACTCAACCATACGAGGCACACTTCGACTCTTTGGAAAACGCATGATCCCCGAAGCTAAAGTATGAACTTTTGGATTTCAAAGTTGTATATTTCAACACTTCCTGTGTGATTCGCCATCACGACATTGATCGTGACAACAACTATACATGGGCTTGTAAACTATCAACAAACATTTAACATGAAACAAAGAAAATGTTTGAAACATTAAGATCAAACAGGAAACATTTCAACAACATTACCTCAACAACATATGGTAACTCTGAGCAACCAAAAAAACTACATAACGAATCCCAAAATGCTATGAAGCGGCTGTCTTCTTGTCATCCGCGACACACAGCGTTAGAAAGTATCAGATAACACAATCCGCAATAAATACTTGGCCAGAACACCGCTTAGTCATGTACGTCATTGAATTTCATGTGAATGTGTATTTGGCGTGTACGACGACCGCGCATTTATATAATACGGTAGTCTAGCCAAGTATTTCAAATCTCAAACATTGTGTGCCCTATCATGTAGTGAGTTGTTGCGACATCGCAAACATCAGTTTATGATATTTAAATAAAACGAGATCACATGTATTTTTCACACATGTAGTTGGTATTTTGAACTCGTTAAGATTCGATAAGAGTGCTTCATATACAGTTGACAGATTGATTCTCACAAATGTAGTACTGTACATATTGTACTTTAGCGTGAGTAAGGACAAGGTCTAGGGCAGCTTACTACCCCCGGAAACATCTGAGTAATATCTCACGCTAGTCATCGCATGCATATATATTGCCAAACAGAAAATGATTAATTAAACCTCAGATTCTTCAGAATATCGCAATATTTTTTCTATTTACACCTTTTTTCTTTAGGCTCTTTTGTTTAACTTAGTCTTATGAAAGTCGTCCATAAGTCGCCAAGAGTCAAACAAGTATGGTCATGGGTCTATTTGCATTGACTTAACCGTTTCTTACAATCTTACATATTGATTTGTACAAATCGAAGCATTTTGTTACAAACTATTGTCTATGTAGAACACAACAGTTCTCTTAAAACTCTTCAACTGTCAGACGTTTACCTAGAGGAGACGAATATCACACAATTTCGATGTATTTCATTAAACCATACACCACATCTGTGAGCAAATACAAATGTCGTAAGCCAAGCTCTCTACCAATAAAGAGCTTGTGCTATACTATAGCATGGATATTTGGATATGTTAGGATGCAGTTAAGATTAGGGTAAATATCCTCACAAAGTAGTACTTAGCAGGGAGGGTAAAGTTATCCTGCTGTACTGTTCATGTTCAAAATATGCATGAGAAATTAGAGTAGTGGATTTCGTAACCTCCTACCCATCAATGATTGCTGTCCTGACCTTATCGCTATTTTGTGACTTTACAACATTGATCGGAAGATGAAAGGAGACTACTGGTGTTAATGATCTACCACATATATAAAATATACAATAAAGAGGTCGACAGGTCGTTCTCCAGGATTATGGGAAGAAATTTTAGTTGTAGGTTCGTAGACAACAGACTACAGACTAATCAGGGATTTCTATTTTGTTTCAGCTGTCGTCACCAAGTCATGGTCGCCGTTATTCTGGTCTTCTGGATCTGTTTTGTGTTTTGGATGCTGCCTGTATGTCCTGTATGTAAATCAGTCTTTGCTGATTGCAAAGATATATCAACACTCTATAACATTGGTCTCCTTGACATGCTGACGAGTGCCATAACGAAATAGAAACAAGGCTAGAAAATTGGGCTCTGATCCAGGCGCCCAACTGTTCGTTATACAAGCACGAGTTTAAATATATTAAGAGTTGAAATTCGAAAGTTTTCAAACACAAACTTACATCTTCATCCGGATTGTTGTTCTTCTGAATTATTCCAATCCATGACATCATATCATCTTTATCTTTAGCCTGAAAGAAAGTCGTTCGTGTAAAAACCTTCCATCCTGAAGCAGAGTGCTGCTTCATCCCATCTGACTTCTTTTCTTTCATGTTTAATCATGAGAAATATTCGCAATGTTCACTGTTACGATTTTCACTTAATATTCTACATGTCACATTTCATTACAGCGCCATACTGCTAACGCATGTCACACCTCCGTAACACCAAGGCCATTGTGAGTTAATAAACTCGAACATAAACTCCCTATACGAAGACCCTATTAGTAGGAAGTAGGTTAATACTTCCCGTTCTTTGAACTGATCAAAACAACTCTTTCCTGTATGGCTCTTTGTATTTAACCCTCGCCATAAGAATGATCGGCTATGTGCTAATTCAAATTCTTTTACCATCACTCCATGATCCTGATGCTTACTTATCACTAAGATTTATTGGTACATATTGATTTGACCAAGGCAATCGTGTATGTACACAAAAAAATTGCCGTGGGCAAATTTCCAATGTAAACCGGTTCATAGACACACGCGGCAATTATACAAAATAAAACTATATACAGTATACGTAGATTTACATATACAAATTTTACCTATAGTAAAACTATAGTTTAGAGATAAAATACTCAGTAGGGAGTCATACTTGCAGTGAAGTGCCAACAGTCGCATTACTTCATAATAACCGCCAAACAAACCCAATGTTTTCTTAGAGCTTAGTCAGCGACTGTGAAGTTTCAAGGGGTTGAGAGTATAAATCATTAGCTATTCTAAATTCTTGACATACTTGGATCAAAAGTTCGCGTGGTCCTGGACCCCCACGCATAATCGTATCTCAAGGCAACAATATCAATAATTTCAAGATATTACACCTTTGCCTAGTCAAGCATGCTTTGAATGAACACAACTAGATAAGAAATTGGTTATCTAGCAGCAATAATTGAAAGTGAAAATAGATATAGATTAAGAGAAAAGCAAATACAGTAATCCTACTATTAAAATACATTAATAATTGTCATATTTGGCATGTTCAAGTTAGGTTAAGATCAGGTCAGTATATAGTCACTTGTCCTGCATTGATTTGAATACATGACCTGATGTATCGTCTCCCGAATTCCCAAACCACTCAGTCTCAGACGAACTCAGTCAGGATTCCATTTTTTAATATGGGGTGTAGGAAGTGGCAATCAGCAGAGTGTAGCTGAGTGCTGAATTGCAAAGGGCGCAGCTCAAACGTGACCGAGTCACGCGATAGCCGTGCCACATTCTCTCCAAGGGTTTGGAGTTCATTTAGGGAGATTATGTGAAATATTTACATTGTTCATGAAAATGAAAAACAGGTTGCCTTTGATTTTCACACATTATGCATCATTGTGTCAACACTCTGAAGGTTTATACTTGCTGTTGAACCTAACTACAATTTCATTTCATTTCATTGCCACGTTCGGTAAGAATTCTTAATTGAAATTTACATGATGTATTAATACATGAGCTCAGTTAACGTATGCACTTTAGCAGTTTAACAATGTTCTTACGCAGGAACAACTGAAAGAGCAAGGGAGGAGGGTGGAGGTCTCGCCAAAGAGTAAGCCCTCCTTCTTGGAATTCTACGCATGTAGATCACGATGAGATGCCGTGTAGTTGCTACACATTTACAACATTTTCGAAGACAATCAGACATGTTTCTGACGTCACATGCACTTTTGATGCCCCGAATTCAATGTTTGAGCGCATTTGCACTAGCCACCACATTTGGCACAAACGGGCCTCATCATCATAAAATTGTTCTATACTTTTATTCATACACATTTGTTTAGCACAGCCACAGGTGATAATGAATTTTGCATACCTCCGCCCTCCCTTCTTCCTGTTGGGAATGAGGTGCACCCAGTTCCGACATGCATGTTCTAGCGCGATGTAGTGGATGGTTTTCAAGTAGTGGATGGTTTTCAACTTACTTGTGTGACATAATTATATGCACAAACGTACGTCTGAACTACCCGGAATATTAGAGAATTTGAGCGAGACAACGAAGTACGAAGACGTACTTATCAATTTTGCCCGTCTGCGCATTATCTGCGCATACTGAGTTTGAGGTCATTGGTTGTTCCTAAACAGGTCTTCTCGTTATAGATTCAATACTGACCCTAATCCTTACCCTGACCCTAATCCTTACCCTGACCCAGACAAAACAGCAAGACATGAAACTATATCCCGTCTTTGTTCTTCTGCTTTCGTTCAGAACGAAGTTCACGACGAATTTTGCCAACATATCCGTTCTGAACGAAAGCAGAACGAAGACGGCATATGGACTCATGTCTCGCTGTTTTGTCTGGGTTGGGGTAAGGGGAACCACCAATCTTCGTTGAGCAATCACCACTGACCCTAAACTCGGTATGCCCAAGATAATACGCAGAAGGAAAAATTGTCAAGTACGTCTTGGTTCTCTTGCTCACACTCTCTAATATTAAACCACTTCGACGTTTCATACGAATACCCTTCCTTAGTAACAGTTAGGAACTGCCTTCACTCTAACGAAGGTTCGTCGCTCGAATGTTAAAACGTCAAGTGTTTTAATTATTCAGGTAGTTCAGACACAAACCACGGCCCCCCAAGTTTGATTTGTATACGTATTGTCTACTTAATTAAAATGCTTTATAAACCAATTCGTCTGCCTGGGGATGCAATCCCATGACAGCAAATAGGAAATTAAATTCATATGCAACTCGCTATCGAGTAGTCATTTCTATTTTCGTGTATGGAGCTAAAGGTATAAAAGTAGTTCTAATTAATTCTAGTTCAGTTAAAATGAAGAGGATTGGACAACGCTACAAGACAGTGACGTACAAACAGTGCAGTGTGAAAGCAGACCGAGGCCACTGATAGAATCAAGCTTTCTCGCGCTTTTTGAAGCAATGGACCTTACCGATTATTCTCTTTTACCCAATGGTCTCGTTTCCATGTTAAATTATTTTAGCATGTCAGGGGCAGATAAAGATTATATTCCCATGTTTTCCTGGACGAATTTGTTTCTTGCTGTTCTCAGGCTCAATAACAAAGTAATTTTCAACCCTACTAAGCATAAAACATGAGTAAGTATTTGACATGAAAACGAGGCCATTGGGTAAAAGAGAATAATCGGTAAGGTCTATTCAACCGAAGCTTTGATGTTGCACTCCATTGTATGTTGCACTGCATTTGAATGGTTCCCAAGCAATTATACTCCTATACTCTTGTTCAAAGCCTTCAAATTTTCGGTATAAAAACTAACGTTGAAGTGCTTGTCCCTTTCTGGTATATTTATAGAGTACCATCATATTTGCATTGACTGAGAAGCAAGATCACGCATGGGGAACATGGTGCCTCATGCACGTTTTCATCAAACCAATCATGCGCTCAATAAAACTGCTAGAGGAAGGAGGGATAATGAATCTGATAAATTAATAAAATGAATAAAACATCAAAAAACATCAAAATTACGTGCATGCTTGCAGTTAAAATACCTCATTTGTGGCTATTATATATAAATAGTATACTTAAATGCAGGAAATAGTATTCTGTCGGTAATAAAACCCACCCGAGGCCTATGCTGTTGGACTTCCTAAATGTCCTATGATGTTTCCTGCACTCCCACATATAATTAATGTTTGTCTCATAGTTGCCAAAGAGAGCAGGAGCAGAATTAATGCTTTAAATTCCAACAATAAACGATTGCATTTTGTGCACCAAAAATGTACTGCACATCGTGTTAACTTTGTTCTTACAGTTAATTTCAATTTTAACGTTAAGTTTTACACTGATTGCTACGTGCATTAGATTTTTATTCAGTCGAAAACGTGTTGCACTATTCTTTGCTTGCACATGACGTCACTACGTGTCATTAGGCGCCATCTTGGTTGATTTTAAAGTTTTGTCCAGCCGTTTACATCGAAATAATTGAATTACTTTAATATTTTTTATTTGTTTTGAAAACATCTTACTGTATCATGGATAGTTTACGATTTCTGGCACAATACGACAAAGAATGAGGAATATAGATTTTTAGTTGCCACGAAAATCAACTAAGATGGCGTCGATTGCACACAAGCAATCAACACTGGAGAAAAAACACTGTTGATTGCAGAATAACTTGCAATAAACTAATACAGTAAAGTAGCAACATATAGAAAAGTTTGATAAGGCATCTCGCCCAGAAAAATATGTAAATTCTTGAGATATTCAAAGCACGTTTCTAAGGTATTTGAAGCATGCCTTGCTTTATACGTCCATAATTACAGTCTTTGATGTATTCTTTGTGTGCAGTTACGTAAAAGCCTACGCATATAGAGCCTGAGCATTCCAAGTAACAACAAAGAGCTATATCGTTGCCATGCATGTTGGATGAATTTTGAATGAAGGTTTATCTTCTTTGCGATTCAAATTTTACCTAACATGGCAAAGGTCTCTTGTACTTTGAATCATGTACAAATGTCTCACAATCACGTGTACTCAAACATCTCTGAGGCTGGACACCACTTATATGATATAATAGTGAAACTGCCTCTTTAAACAAGTTATTAGTTTCTTTGAAAAATAAATATACACAATGCTTTAAATTTTAGTTATGTTACACATATTAGGTCCAAATGTTTTTCAACAATTCCATCTTAATGTAGGCAGACAGATCATATTCAACTAAATAGCTGTAATGAAGAAGTAGAACTGCTATAACAATTCAAGTACACGCAACACTCCATGTTTTATAGCTATATTACAACTGCGGTTTGCTAAGCTAAATTTAATGTTCATTTTTACATAAAATTGAGGTCTTTTGGCAAATTCATGTCTCACAACTATTAAGGTGAATCTTTACCATTCTTAAAACAAGTTAAAGGAGGTATACAATATTAAGAAAAATGTATTAATATGTAAATTAGTCATATGAGAATTGTCAATAGAAACGGAATTGTAAATAATGTCATGAATAGTGGCGGACACAAGGGAGGCGGGGACTAAAGGTCTGGTACCAAATATCACAATTCACAAGCATTGTTTAGGAGCAAGTGGCAAGCATGCAATCACACCCGGTCCACATAACGTAATTGTCATATTAAATCCTGTTACAACTGAGAAATTTTTCAGGTATTCTATAAAGCGGCTGTTTATAACTTTATATGGAGATAGCAATATAGCAAGCAATATATGAATCTTGACAATGCATGTTAATGATGCCAAAACATACGCATTTTATACAATCGGTTTTGTTCAGTGTAGGATTCCTTACAGCTCTACTGATAAAAATTTTAAACCATTAAAATTGATAGTTCTAACTGTACATTAAACAACAACACTAATCGACATGATTAATTTATATTATCTTAGAAAAAGTATCTAATGTCAGTCAAATGGCACAACTCGGGACTCTTATTCATTTCATCAAGTGATCCATGTTCTGAAAGACTCGCATAACTTCAAGCCTTAGACGGACACCGACACCTCATGTTGAAAATTTCGCCCCCTCCCCCTCAATATTCAGTCGTGAAGTGTCCGCCATACTGGTCATGAATATTAGACTCATGCATGTCAGAAACAAAACGTTTTGAAATAATCTGGAATTAATAAGTAATTGAATTATATGGTGGAAATGAAGAAACAATAAAAGCAACAAAAACCATGCAATGGAAGAATAATTAAAAATAGACGACAATTGATAAAATTATTGGGATATATTTACAAATAATAACTAACAATAATTCAATGCTTGTGAGGAGGCCAAGTTCAGTCAAATTATTCCACCCACGAAATGTTTACTCAACTGCAGAAACATTTATCTTCTTAGTTGTGACATGAAGGCATCCACATACTGTGTGGGCAGTATTAAAGTCCACTTCGATGAAATGAAAATAAATTATTTATGCTGAATACGTGCACGAACAAACGCGTTTTCAAGACATGTTTTGTGAACTTATGTTGCTTTCTTAGCCGTTATGTTTTTTCTTCAGAACAATAGTCTCATACTGCAAGAAATGCTGTTTTAGAGTCTATCTAGAAATTAACGCCCCCTCCCCCACTAGGATTCTGATACCATTGGTGGTTGGGTAGGAATTTCTACTAATTCCAATCCAAAAAAGATTATCCGTCCAAAATATATAGAACCTTAAACATTGAGCACGCAAGGTATGATGGGTATTGCTTATATGGAGCCTAAGATTGGACATTAGCTTAGTGAACCAAATAGCCCTACATCGAAAGTGTTCATTATATATGCCGTAGCATTGTCGCAAGGCAAATTTCCCGTGTTTAAGATACTTAGTTTTACCTTAAACACATTTACAATTTAAGGCAGGTATATGCTAATATGGATATAACATACTGCATGTGTTAATTGCGCGTTTACCTAGCAGGTAGCATAGCTAACAAAAAAGTGAGTATCGGTATATAGGTACAATGTTGTACATAAATATTATATATAGTAATTACATGCGCTATATGAATAAAAGTTTCGAGAATTTTATTCTATTTCCAACAGACTACAATACATGCTGTCAATCTCTCTTTTGTTTGACAGCTGAATCTTAAGAATGTTCATTTGTCAGCGCATTTATATTGTTTCAGACAATTTTACTCTTGTTCGTCAAGTAAGTGGAACGGGGAAAAAATGCGGAAAACGGAAACAGAGAAAGACAATTAAAGTAATTTGTTCTATATAAAGATAAATGTAGCCTATGCATGCTATAGACGCTTCTTGTGACTGAAACAGTGGCGTACACTACGGGAAGCCGGGGGGGGGGGGGGGGGGGGGGGGGGGGTAGCAGGTGCGGTCAGAAAGCCTTCGAATGATCGCTGAATAACTATATATATATATGTATACGTGTAACAAAGCTGTAACAATAATTTTTCAATCATGAAAGCATCGGTATAGGTTATAAATTCAGTTATATATTGCATGAAATTTAAAGCAAAATGGTTTAAAGAATTATAAGATTTCCAAGAACAAAAGTTAGCTACATGTATATATCGCGAAGTGTCCGTCACTGCATAGACTGAACAATAGAATCTGCATATAACATTTTATTTAAAAGGCAAATTTACTGTTTTGACTGGACGATAGAAATATATACAGTATATTTTTATATGCCGATATACCGGCTTATATGTCACATTACTGATTGTACTATGTATATGAAGGAAACTGGTCGAAGGAAATTTAATATGCATATTATATTGAACCAAAAAATATTCATCATTTAGCAACATTTATGATTATACTGTTACGAGTAGTAACATAATTCGGGTTTTTTAAAAAAAATAAGGGTTATTGATAAAAGAATATATATATATATATATATATTCAGTACGAAAAGATCGGCTTGAATATTAACTTAAATACTTAACTCAGACGTTTATGTTTAGCCATCTTGCTATATTTCATTCATTGTTTAGAAGTTTAATCGGACTATACTATAGCATGACTTTTTCTACAAATTATCTAGGTAAATATATATTATTATTTAAGTATAAATAGTAGTTACGGTACCTGAAATAAATACTGTGAGGCATTGTACGTAGTAAGTTTGAAGACATTTTCTCTCTTGCGATAATCATATGCAATATCAACAATACAGGATTTTATACTGATAGGTTTCTCGTCCTGCCCACTTGAGATCATCTGGAGAAACAAAGCATGTGGTCACGAGTCAGTATAAATAGACAGCATTTGTAGATGAACATTTTCGAGTGTAAATACAGTTATTTAGACCTAACCAGGAGCAGCTGCGAAAAAACCAACTATAGACCCTCTGGCAGGAATCGAATGCGATTCTGGTGCAGCACTCTAACCAACTGAGCTACAGAGTCCATTTGTCGATATATATATATATATATATATATATATATATATATATATATATATATATATATATATATATATATATATATATATATATATATATATATATTTAATTATTTATGAAATAAAGTACAAAACAAACGTTGTTACTCAGAGTTTCATGCCTGAGTTTACAGACAATCTTCGGACAACTAAAGTTCTGTTAACTAAATTTGACGGTTTGGTTTTGTTTGCTTGCGCATGCATGATTGCACACGTTGTTCGTTGTTATATATATATATATATATATATATATATATATATATATATATATATATATATATATATATATATATATATATATATATATATATATATATAGATATTATATATATATATATATATATTATATATATATACATATACATATATATACTATGCATGGTAAGGTTTATGGGTTAATATCATTTTAGTCAATTTATTCGATTCTGATTGGTTCAAAACGCCGATTAAACATTACTAATAGACCTTTCTCCTTTTTAGTGAAATTTTGATCTAGACTAGCCTGGACAAAAATTTCATCACAGCTTGAAAGAGCATCACAAAATTAGTAATATTCCGAAATTTCGCTGCGAAATGTTGTAAAATGCGGATAATATAGCCTTGCGAAGTTTGCCGTTTTTCAGCCATTTTGTATTACAAACGGGAAATTGATAATCAGTTTGGTCATCTGATTATCAATTTCCCGCAAAGGCTATATTATCCGCATTTTACAACATTTCGCAACGAAACTTTGGAATATTACTAATTTTGTGATGCTTTTTCAAGCTGTGATGAAATTTTTGTCCAGACTTGTCTAGATCAAAATCTCACTTAAAAAGGGGAAAGGTCTATTGCTTGTGTAAAATTGACTATAAAATGATATTAATAGGAAATTACACTTGTTCTCGAAGTATTAATGAAAAATCACACTTGTGTTTGGCGAAATATTTCTAATACCGCTCGTGCTACGTACTCGCAGTCAGTGCCACAGTCGATCTTGCTATGACGCCATGTTTTCTTTTAATGAACTATTTTTAATTCGCCAGCCAAAGTCAACAAACACGTGTTGTGACGTCACTTGCTAGAGCCCAATAAGAAAATAAAAGCCAAGATGGCGGAATTCACGTCCAATATGAAGGTTGAAAACAGTTTTAATACCATTTTCCCACGCAGCTAATTCCAGTTTTTTCTAACGGAGCGGATCGCTAATCAAGTTATCAGTTCATAAAACCATTAAAGGAATACCTAATGGTTTTCCGTGCAGGATTGCGTGATCCATGCACGAGGGATGTCGCGAGACTTTTGGAAAGCGTAAAAATTCTGAGCCGCAGGCGAGTGTATTTTTACGCTTTCCGAAAGTCGAGCAACATCCCAAGTGCATGGATCACGCTATCCTGCATGCTTGGAAAACCATTTGGTAATTGTTTTATAAAATAACTACAGTGAAACAATGATATTTTGAGAATCCCGCGAAAATCCCGCAAAGGCATTTTAATTCCTCGTGCAGGATAGCCTGATCCTGCACGGCTATTGACCAATCAAATTGCGTGTTTCACTGTAGTTATTATATAAAGTATTATTCTTTAACTCGAAAAGTACGAAATTTCGGCAGACAACATGCAAACCGCGCAGACGATAGTTAATAGAGGAGATGGTTTGGAAACTCATTAGCATTACAATAAACCCCATTATCTAGGTTTTTGTTCAGGTTTATGCAAAAATGTGGTCTTTCATCGTCACGTGCGTATTGTATTTTTGCTCAACCAACCAATAGCAACGGTTTTGTTCAGTGGCCCATCCGTGACTTTAACAACAGAACATTTTGAACATTCCTATTGGTTGACTTGGGCAAAATACAATACGCACGTGACGATGAAAGACCACATTTTTGCATAAACCCGAACAACATAGATAATGAGGTTTATTGTGATTTTATTGTAATGCTAATGAGTTTCCAAACCATCTTCTCTATTAACTATGCACAGACAAAAACAATAGAAAGGGACTGAAACTGTTCTCACTCCAGATATATATGGAGCTCACTGTGTTAAACAAGCGCAGAAGGCCTGGATACGAGGTTGATTTGTGGCTGAAAAACCTGACACCCGACATCTGAGATAATTTGCAGTCGCAGTTTGTCCGGCGACTAAAAATACTACAGAAACTCATAATATGATCTATTTTGGTAGTTACCTGGTCTGGTTTGTCTTTATAAATATACATTATATGAGCTTTGAGGACAACATAAACCTGTTTCCAAGACCGCTGTAGAAAGAAAAATATATATCAGCCTGTATTTCAGGGCCATCTTTGAGACACTATGTGGCTACATGTGCGGAAAAAGCCTTGAAATACACCCTTCCACGTCTTCGCTATAGAGCCTCGTTTCCATGATTGAGAAGTTGAGCTTTAACTAAAGTCACATACACGAAGCTGTATATGACCAGTGGTTTCCGGAATGACCAGTGGTTTCCGGAATGACCAGTGGTTTCCGGAATGACCAGTGGTTTCCGGAATGACCAGTGTTTCCGGAATGACCAGTGGTTTCCGGAATGGTAAATTATCCTTACCCGTCCATGATATTTTCGATTAAGGTACCCCTCCTTCTCCACCTAGAAGAAAAATATGAACAGCAGGTATAAAATATCAACACCAGGTATATAATATGTGGAAGGAAAAAATACGACAAGAACATTTTTCACGGTATTCAAATAAAAGTGAAAATGTCCATCTTTCTACTCTAAAATTAACACAAACATCGTAATTTGAGAAAGCATTTTTTAAATTTTAATCACGGGGCCGGTTGTACGAAGGCTGGATAGCGCTATCCATCGAATAGTAGCCCTGACTCGTACCCAGTCCCTCAAATAAGGATTGAACAAAATAATGGTGCATGATGGGACATGCAATATGTACTCTACCAATATGTACTCATACATCGTAATTGACCTATATGTACTATTTAAAACACGAGCAGGGGTGTTTTATCAGATATAAAAGTCTGCGAGTGTTTTAAATGGCTTAAACGACCCATCTGATGAGTTCATTAGCGAAGTAATTTTAAAAATAAACGTTGTCTAAGCCGAGAAAATCAAAGCGAAAGTTTATGTAAATGAACATGATTTTTTATCACATACAAATCTACCGACACGGTAGTGATTTCCTTTGTCTTTCCGTCCCTCATGAATTATTGAGTTTTTAAAAAATCATTTAAAGTCAAGTTTTTGACATTGTTTAAATACGTTCGCCTTCTTTCCTTTCGTTGAGTGCACAATTGCTCGGTATATAATGTTTATACTCAACAAGAGATTAGGTCTCCCTCGCAGCCTTTCTTTGCGTCGTTCCTCCCCACGAGCTCGTGGAACGACAGAAAGAGCCGTTGCGAGGGAGACTAACAAGAGAATTGCTCTTAACTTGGTTCTTAAACCGAACGCACAGACGGTTATAGGTTTTTCTCAATCGTTCAGGATTTGATTGTAAGCACTTCAATTAAGTCAAGGACACTTTTCAATCTCTGCATTTCAATTCCATGCCCGGCAGGAATTCTTATAAATCTATATAAACTAATTTTGTCAGAAACAACCGAACTCGTGATTCTTCACAGGCATATACCGAGGGGCGTAATTACATTTCAATGTAAGTAAGAGTTAAACACCGAGAGCGGAGATATTTAGTCAAACCGTGGAATTGCAATGGGGAGGGGCTTAAAATCCTAAAGGTCTCATTCCACACGGGCTTTTTCTCGGCGAAATGAATGAGTGCACACCCAGTAAAGCTAAATTAGGCTTTGTGAGAAAAAATTTCGCTCCACCAAGGAGTAAATTCAATAGAATCACTCACGCGCAACCATCCGTATTTCGCAGACACAATTTCGCACTAATAATTTCGCCATCGTGGAATCAGGCCTTAACGGGAGGTTAGCGTGACTGTGGAGGAATTTCCATGGGGGATGGCGAAATATTTCCATCTGTTCAGGGGGGTATAAAATGCATTTCCAGCGGTATGACACGTATTTCCAGGGAGGAAAGCTAAACAGGAATTTCCAAGGGAGGAGGATTTATTTCGCAAAAGAAAGGGATACCTAATTAAATACTTAACAACTTCAGCTTGGGCGTTCCAGGACATTTTGAGTTTAATAATAATATACCTGCACAGAATCTGCTGAACATTTTCTCTTTAAGCTATGCCGCTTTTCTTCATCCACGACCTAAATAAGTTTTATAAATATTATTTCCTTAAAACAACAACAAACTAAAATAGTATATTATAATGTCTCTACTGTGCACACATCAGCTGACGTAGCTCAACAAATGTCGGAAGGTTCGTTTGCGGGGGAGGCAGACAAAACGCAAGCGGGAATCGAGGAGGGAAGCATATTTTCCTGGAAAAATATGGATTCTAGGTTCTCTGAAATGGAATATATTTTTCTGTGTTCTGGGAAAGATCTAACACACAAAACTTCCAAACTTAAGAACTCTTAACTAAAACTTTTTCAAGTCTGTAACGGATAATTACGAAAGTTCAATATATACTGTACTGTGTAAAAAATACAATAACCCTCACGCTTCCCCTTTTTTTTCGATTTTTTTTCTTCATATTTTCCGGTTCCGTCAAATTTGCTCCATTGTATAATGGCCAGTGGAAATGAACAAAATGATACCAGGAGTTTGGCCAAGATCTTGGATGTTGCTAGTCTTAGTTCACAATAATTAAATCACTATGGGAATACCTCAGTGTGCTCTGTATTATCATCGACGTCATCATCATCCAAACTGTCGCCTCTAAGAATATGAAGTGAGGTTCGGTGTTTTTCATTCTCATTTCCACCCTACAAAACAACATATCAATTTGAAATCTGGCATTTCATACTTTATATACCATACCACATTCCCATAATCCAAACCACGCCACACAACACAGTGGAACGAGTTTCATTGCATGCTTAGCCATGGAACAAAATGTATGGTACAAAAATGCATTGCATTGTTTGGTTTTCATTAAATTTCACCCGTCAAAATCTTAATCGTATCCTAATCGTAATATGACCATGGCTCATATGATTTTCCATCGTCGCCTCGTGGAATCGAAAATTCCATCTTTTATTTGATGAAAATATTTTTACTATTCACAAACATTCATTAC